TTCACTCTGCTAGCTTCTTGGATAAGGCAGAAAGCTGAAGTTCAGTATATTTTTCTCAACAGCTTAAGTTAGACAACCAGCGCACTTGAAAGCCTGGGGACAACATTTATTAGAGCTTGAAATACGGACGGGTTGGTTGATCGATCAACAAAGCCCGGAAGATTACGTACCGTTGGTCGAAATGCTACGCGAACGAACCACATTTCCCCAAAGTTAGAATAATATCTCTAGGCGTGATACTTTGGATGCGCGGCATGCGATGGTCGAACAAAGGTTGCATGTCTGCAGTGCATCTGGAATTTAGATCCCACGACGGTGAAGGATAAACATAATTGTTGATGCCTGATTAGGTCAAAAGCCAACTCGTGTTTTTCCGCTTAAGAGTCACATACCAGAGTAATCTTACCGAGGCCAAATTAAGACTGTTGAGTCCGTACTGCCATTTTATTGGTTTATATTCAAGGCCATAATTCCTCTGAAAATAAACTGCTTTGACTAAGAGCACCATAACATTATTTACCCGAGAGCTGAATACTTCAGATCAATGACACTTGGTTTTCTCGTATGTCGCGTTAGTTTTCATTTCTTAAAGGAGTGTGCGTTCACAATGGTTTCGAAATGTGCTTCAGGTCTGCTTTCAGTGTAAATAGGATATTATGGTCTTGTCGAACCATTATCTATGCCAATTCCGCACTTTGTAAAACTGCCGTGTATCAACTTTTCCAACGAAATATAAATATCAGGTTTATGTTTTAATGGTGATCCGCGTACATATGCTGATACATACATACATTGATTCAGATAAAGTATTCATTTGCACCACACACAGCTGGCCTTATTTCTCAAGGCAATTTCTATTTGATCCTTTATACATTTGTAATAACTCGATGCCTAGTAACGAGGCGTATAGTGACGTTTGCAGTGATGACTTTCAAAAGTTGTTAAACTTGTGAGGGCGAAAATGAGAGAAAGGTTTGTGTACAGGGGGCTCGAGATAGTTTAATGGCTATATGGCACCAGCTGACGGACCGGAAGTCCGTGGCTCGAACCTAACCTCAGCATCTCGACTGCCCCTGTCTAGGATTGGGCAACCCGGCAGTATCTCAGCCTTGTGCCTTCTGTTGGCACCGTATATAGTGGATACCGAAAGGCATCTACAGCTGAACGACAACGTACGGGGGGGCACATTCTGGATAGTTTTTAGAAGCAAGGATTTCATAGAACCCAACAGCCTCGTCTGATCCGAAAGGACTTGCTATGTCACAGGATTTACTATATAACCGTTGGATTCGTCACAGTCGGTGAGTTTGTATGCAAACTAGCCAGTAGTTCCCAGAATAAGATATTTTGACCCATTCGTTTTGAATAATATTCTTAAGAGGAAGAGTTACTTAGGTGATGTTTCTGGTACATAAATTATCGCATTATATACAAAAAACGCAACCACAGATTTTGTAAAACGCCTAGCGATTTCACATTAAAGGTGACCTCAGTAAAACAATAAGTCGATGTTTGACCATAAGGCCGACTCAAGTGCTTAATTTACGGGTTCACTTCATCAGAGAATTACACTGGCCTGCAGAGATTCCAACAACATATTCAGCTGTTGTAGTTACCCCACTAAACTCAAACTCAGTCACTTAGTTTCTGAGTTAGCCCAGGACAAAACTTGAGGTTTGCTATTAAATCGATTCGGAGTAATACCAACTGTGCGTTGTGGAGCAAAAACCTTATGGTGACCCGAATGTAGTGCCACTCTGAAAATGCTTTCGAACCCGTCCGAATTACTACCCTACCAATTTAAGGATAAGCAATAGGCGTCAAAAACGTGCGTGCATGCAAATAACAGCCCTATGATGGTTGTATCGCCGTTGAACACTTCCTAGTTAACCAGTGAATCTTTCTAGATGTGCAGCAGTGAATTGCCAATGCTATCACCACATGTAAATGATGTGAGCTTGTGCTAACGAGAATCAAGTAGCCGTGTTACTTCATCCAGTTCTGTAACTTGTGTTCCGATTGGTGGTACAACATGGTGGGGTTCGATGCAGTGACGGCATAGAGGAAGTAGCTTGTCGACTCGCTTATAATACTTGACGAAGCCTAATGAAGCGACCGAGGATGTGTGAAACTATGTTGGTTGGCAACGTTGGGCTTCCCATAGGTCTTGTTACTGCCAGTTACCCGAGGATTTGGTTGCTTATTTTGGACTAGGGACAGTCTTTTATGGTTCTTTCCCAACATATCAGTATTCAACTTTGGATACCAACTGCACCCTGTTAACTGAGAAAATGAGACGATTTTCAACCACCATTACTACTAGTGGAAGGAAGAATTCCTCTGCTGAGGGGTTGCATATTAGAAGACACCAAACTGAACAGTTACAGCCTATTGGACAAGAAAACAAAACTCTCATATGCATTTCGTTTTGATAAACTGAATATCCGTTGTCTTCGTAAACGCGTCTTCCTGAACTTTTCTAGATATTCATTGACTATCATGCAAACATAAACGAATGCTACTAGGCAATTTCGCAAATTCCGTAATAAACCTCACCTTCCATTAGATCAAGGCGGAGTTATGAGAAACCACATAGCACTCGCATGTCTCATCAGTAGTATCCACCATTACACCTGTAGCTACGGTGCTTTTTACATGAAATGTATTTTAAATTGGCTATTGGCAAGGCGGTGAAACTTAATGACAGTTATGGAGTCGGTCATTTTTGACCAGGTAAAGAACAGTAGTTACTGTGTCCCTATCGTAGAAATGTGTGCACGATCGGTTTGGCGAATGACAGACTTTGCGGTTGTCTGACTTCTGGGTGAAAAGACCCGCAGCTGGATTGCTGTTACTCGAGGAGAATAAGCTTCGGTCGTCTCCACTGGATTTGGATCTGCTCAGCGCATCGATTTAAATATTCCTAACACTAGGACAGATGGATGTGCCACAGTACAGTACTCGATCGAAACACGACGAATGGAATGGGTGTCCCACATGCGCGCCTTCAAATAATTGCACGCATATTTGGCTGATAGTTGTCAGTCAGCAAAATAAATGGCCTTTGAGTTGTCTGATTTAGAATAACTTGTTGTAAATCCTTGTGTTGGATTTTTCAGTCGAGCCCTGTGGAGGACTATTTCGATTTCGCATAGCCTACGATTTTTTTGCATAAATTTTGCGATCGATACCCCACAGTCGCTTCGAATTTTTGTTGCCTTACATCCTGTTAGACGTAGTATTTTATCGTCAACATCCTCATGATCATTATACGTATATACATGCATATACTCGAATCCGAACAGAATTTAAATCAATTGATCCGGACCCAAATTGCTTCAAAGGTAAACATTTGGAACGTCTCATTTCTGTCACCCTTTTTTCAGTTTAATTTTTTGTTCTTATCGTTTGTTTCAGTTATTTTTGTTTGCACGTAGTCCCTCACCTTCTTTGACACTCAGCACATGTTGACAGGCAAACTGAAACGGTGTTGTGCAAACCGTTTGTGCTTTTGTTCAGGTTTGACCCATTAATTTGGATACAATAGTTGAACTATTTTTTTCTACTAACATTTTTCATGTTGTGAGTAACATGCCTCGAATCTGCCAACCAGCTTTTCCTTGCAACATCTGTCAATCACCAGAATTGATGATATAGCTATTTGTTACTCAGTTTCTGATTTATTTTCCGTCAAAAATGGAGACGATTTATACGGAGTATTTAGTAGTAGGTTGGTTACCGTACCTCAAGAAGTCAGCTGATTCATTTATAAGGCAACACATCTAGGTTACACCATCAACATTCGAATCACAATAGGACGTTAAAAATACGGTAGATCGTTGCGGCGATCGTTTCTTAGGTACCTTATCGCAAATCGAATCTGTTTTGGTTTACACGGTCTTTAAAAGAGTATGGAAGAAAGTAGGCTTGCATGTATACAGGTTTTCCGTGACTCTTTCGGAAGCCAGACGTTTGAAAACCTCATTTTTAGACTTCCACAATCTATTTGAGAAATTATTTAGACTAATCAGAATCGCTTACATCGATGCTGCTCTGGATGAACACACTTCTTAGGTGGGATGCTGAATGCACGTGTCTTCCCATTCAGTTGAAGAAAGGGATGGGTAAAGTACTTTCCATCAATGAAATATCACCGCTGACCCTGATTTTAATAATGCGACATGAATGGTTCACTGGTTTTGAATATGGTAGATCAGCTATATACTCTAGTCGTGATAGTACTCCATAAAGGAAGCTCAAAATTCTTTGATGAGAAGTATGAATTAGGATGATTAACCGTGTTGGAGTTTATTTTATCATCACTTGAACTGATCATCGGCGGCATGAATTTGATAACTAAAGCCCGTTACCTATTTGACCATGGCCTAGTCTCACTAATGTATTGGTTTTGCGATTTCCGTACTTTGATCGGTGTGCTTACGGAACGCATCCCAAGCCGATAGACTGGGTTTTAACCTACAGGAAGTGCTTCCAAGTCCCCGTCATGAGAACCTTGTGCTTCGCATGCAGCCCCGTTAGTATTTTTTATTTGGGTGTCCCGTTTTCCAAATTTCATTTTACTTTCGATTCCTTTTTGGCATGCTTTTGGGTGATAACAATTCGTGTAGCTCTTTGAAATCTTGCCTCTCATCACAAACTGCGGATTGCTATTCCGTTGCATTAAAAATTTAGCTGATGATTAGCTTATCGTTTGCCAAATTTTATCGTTCGAGGTTGCTGGAGGCGGTCACGATGCCAAACGAAAGAAATCCTACTTTCAGCGGTTTTGGAATTGCTTCGATGCTACCATGCTTCTTTGTATTTACGCGTCGCTGGGATTGCAGGGTGTTGAATTCTACATCACAATGCAGTGCCCTGCTGGTCAGATGAGCTGTCATGTCAGCGAGGATTTCTGGAGGAAGTATGGAAGTTTAGCCATCATTCGGTGCCCACGCCCCCTAATCCTTATTCGCGTGTTCCGTGCAGTACTACGATTGCAACTGCCAAAAGCCCGCGTAAAGGCTATATTCCAGTGAGTTACATATGTCTAGCAAATGGAAAATACTTGTGCCGTTTTCCCCCTGTGTAAACCTTTTAGACAGTACGGTATACTGTAGTCCCCAGTAACTGCATTTGGCCCTCACTAAGGCAAAATCCACGGTCTCCTGGTTGTTTTGTTCCAAGAATGGTCATTACTTCTAGGATCTCATTTTATCAGAAGTTATTGAATATAGCATTTCCGTCCTTCACTTCTCCCCATATCACTTACGGATTGTACCGGCCACACCTACTGAGTATACGAACAGTCCGTGTGATCTGGATTGGTCAGTCCAGGAGCAAAGAACACTGCTCACGAAGCAGTTAGATTGGCTTAGTAGAAGTCCATTTAATACATACGTCCGCGCAACACTGCCGCAGCAACCATATTTTTAACGTCTCTGATCAGGCTGTTATTTGACGTGCGTTCTTAATGGTGCCAACAAAACAACATTTGGAATAACCCGTTCAATGCAATGCTAGTAAATGGAACATTGTACAAACAGACCTCACCGTTTCTGCCTCTGTGGGACGGGACCATGATTGGGTTGGTTAATAAGGTCGACACAGGCAGAGTGGCAGTGGCACGGGGAAAGAGGTTGGGACCAGTTTGTGAATGGTAGGAGTCGATGATTTAGTTGTAGTTGAGTAACCGAAACGCCTGAGGGGTTTTCGATCCACACCGATTAAGTGGTCTAAAGCGAAGAAAGATTTTGTGAGCGAGCTCCATTTCGAACGCTCACTACACTGCTTCATAACTTTGGGTCCTTAAGCTTGACCCAGCTTCCCACGTTCGCCTCCAAACATAGGTAGTGAGTATTGGATTAAAGCTAATACCATGAGTCTGCATAATTCGACCTTACGGCTGAACATGTTCGTGTTGTGGTAACCAACAATCCAAACTTCTGGCACACTGAGTCACAAATTGCTGCGCATGACGTTTATTTGACTAGAAAGCTACCAAGTGTCCAGTGTTGTGATCAGATGTGGCGTTATCCTTAAAGACAACGGGCTATCACGACTCCTAGTAAAATATGGCACCGACGCAGTATCAGATAGTTTGGAAACATTAGTCACTGTGTTTATCTCCTCTGCTGGAGGAAATACGTGAAAGTCTCTCGTATTCGACCGTCTTTGTTTCCTAATCACTTAATGCACCCGGTTAAGTCACTTATACCAAAACGCCTCACTTGGTTTTCAGGAGAATAACCAATTTCATGATGAACGAATGATCTTACCATACACTTCGTAATGCACCTCGTAAGCCTAATTTTCTCACAGCCCTGTAACGGACAAAAACCAGCATACAGACGCTGGAAAGCTAACTTAGTAGCCCTAAAAACTATGTCATCATGGACCAGATTCAAAAACAAGCGATTCCAACAAGCGACCTGATCGACATGGCTGCGCGGTAGTTCTGTTGTCCAAATACAGATATTCCAACCCCCCTGGATGTAAACCTTGCTTCGAATCAACTGTTGACTTATTCAGACAATAATCTCGCTACCAATGACTGGTAAAGGTGTTTCGTCTGACTTGTCCCCGATCCCCACGACGGACTTGCTATCTACCAAGCTATGGGTTCGACTTTGTCTGTATGTTTTGAGAAAATGTGGGAAAAGACTCGAATGAGTCCTAAGAAGGGTGAAAAGCCCATGGATCCGATCACAATTTCTAATAAACTACCCCAATCCCGCCCAACCAGTGACGCAACCAGCCGGTTATGCGGTATGTCCAGTGCGTATCTGTCTTCTTTTATTATTTCTACCGCGCTACGCGAAAGACTGTTACGCAGTTTAAGGTTTGACATCGCTACAATAAACATATTCTGAGCCGTGATGAAAGCCGTCACAGTGAAGTTCCAGTTGTAGCGAAAGTTCTTCTGATACCAGTGAGTTCGTTGCGATGGATTGATGCTAAACACTTTAAGAAGTTCGCCGCGCGTACAAATAGGATTTTCGTATATTACTTATGTTTACCAAAATCCCTTGGTGATTGTGAAGGTGGAACCTACTGGGTGATTCCAGCATCTTCTGCAGACAAACCGTGCACAAACCAAGTGAAATGTAGGGGTTCATTGCGAAACACCACTCTTTTGGTCGTAGAAGTGTTATGCACAAATGAAATATCTTTGGAAAATGCACACTATGTTTCTACTGATACAAGCTTTCCTTTAACTAAATCCTCATCTTCCCCCTTCCTTTGTGAAGGCGGTTTTCCCTTGCAGTTAAGCACCAAGTTTCACTACAGTTTTATTGTTCAAATGAAGATGGTATTGTTGGAGAAGATGATGATGAAGAGAATAATGTTGATGTCGATGCCAATGATGAAGATTTTGATGATGATCCTTTTGGAAAAATCCACCCCTTTCACGTGTGAAGATTGATTTTCACAAGTAGTCCTAGTACCTTAATAGTCTAATCTAAAATTTGATACTGACGTTACACACAAGTTCCAAATATCTTTCTCTCGTAATCACTGTTACATTCACCATACAGGATCAGAGTATGCTACACGGCAAGTCACAATACCGCTGCGGTTAAACGAATAATGAAAATACGTACTAGTGAATGATGATTCCCGATGGTTCTTTCCCCAAAGTATGTGGTGCTTAAGCTAACGAGATCAAACTCCAAATCTACCTGCGCTTTCGTATAATTGTGACAAGCATCTCAGTTCCTAACCGTATTCATCTGCTCTATCGCGTCACATTTTCCGTGCATAAAGATTCGTCAGACTTACTATCTATGTGTCAGCCACATGAAGTTTATGCCTGTCAACGAATTATGACCTCGTTTTTTCCGCATTTTCAGACGTTCAACTCATCAAACATACAATGTAACGATGTTTCTACTATTCTTCATGTCGTTGTACGGATTTCTGGGTGTCCAGTTCTTCGGCGATAATCTGAACTATCACTGTGTGGTCAAAACTGCCAATGAAAGGTTAGTCAAGCGTTTTGCGGTCCAAAATACTTGACTTCGGTTGCACTTGGCTTCCTGTTAGTTATATCTTGTGGATATGCAGCACGTCGGCACACGGTGATGTTGCCGTCTCAGTCAAGTCGTTTCGAGGCTGCTTCTCGTGATATTTAATTTAGCCCGGCCAATTAATCCAATTTCTGGGCTTACACAGTCTCGGTGTTGGAAAACGACAAGTTTTAACTCGGATGAACATAACCAGGGGAGCCACATTGTTTATCCGATTATTTTATCCGATTTTTTAATCATTAAGCAGAGCTGAACAGCGGTTCCTAACCCTTTTCTTGCTCACTTTCAGTGGCTTTCGTGTCTCCAAGGTGATCGAAAAATTGCTACATTTATAAATATATCATTCAGCAAACCCTAAATGTCCAAGGTCATTATTGTCATTTATTTCTGAAGAGCATGGTCACAAACATAAAAAGTGAATGCAAGCGACGAATGCGAAAGGATAACAAATATATAGTCACGCGCAGCACTTGCGAACTTGCTAACACTTGCTAATACGCACCAACTTACATCTGTGGTTGACTGTGTTAGGCAGCTTATTCGCATCCTCATTTGGACCGTACGACAGACTAGGGAACAATGCAACCGTCCTATGCAGCAAAATTTGGGAGATTTCAGGCTATTCTTGAGATTTTTGCATGCGTATTTTAGTTGCAGACACAATTGATATCATGCTTACGATAAAGACGTTTGGTATCAAGCAGCGGAACAAATCGAGACATGGTTGGCCCTAATACAGCTTTGGCGACTCTGGCGCCAAAGTAGAGCCTGAAACTTTTCGAGTTCACTGAAACCATACCGTTCTGTATAGGGTAGCTGGCTTTGGATAAACCGGGAATGAGGATGGGAAATTCCAGTTATCCTAACACTCCCCCTACTCACGTTTTCCATTGTTTGTTGCTATACGCCTAACTAAAAGATGTTTGTCTTGCAACCCTGGCCAATGAATACAAACAATTTATTATTTATTTATTTATTTGTTGGTTGGACTGCAAGTGTCGGCGATGAGCATCTGTTGCATGTACGCACAAATCCAATGGTGATCATTCCTATTAAACAGGTGCCCTCTTCTCGAGAAGTACACTCATTTGCAAATCAATTTGGTTTTCACGAGAGACTCAACTGAATCTCTCGTTTATGATATTCAAGTAGAACATAGGGTTGACGGAAACTCGGGGACTGCGCCTACCTGGTGAGCCCCAAGAAGGGCGAAACCGGTCGTGGGCTGTCGAAGAGGTTTCAGCGACCTTGTGAGTAGTTTCCTTTATGAAAAAAGGTGCTCTCTTCCTTTTTTCCCCAGTAATATCACGAAGCGTGACCTCGCTATTCCTGATGCCTACTGTGATCCAACGGGGGATCGTAAGGATGCCGATAAACAGTGCCCTCGAGATATGAAATGCGTCCGTATCGTGACGTCAATTGAAGATGATGGAGGGTACGCTGGATTCGAAAGTTTCCGTAAGTTATTTACGAGATCTCTTCACACTCATAATTGCACCGGAATTTAATTCGTTAAGAACCCAACATACCTACCTAAGTCCATTTGTAACCTGCTGGAAGATCAGCTACCTCCTTGGGAGTCTGTTATGATTTAGGTCCCAACGCAACCTGGCCTTTGCGGAAATATCTGTCTCTAGCCTTTGTGCAACAAACCTCATTGTACAATACAGTAGAGGATTTCGACGATAAAACGCAAGCCGTGCAAAGGACGGACTTCAAAGCTGACATAACTGGCCTATGCCAGGTGTTCGTCTTTCTCGGTAGCATGGGGAATGATTAGGCAGCACAAGCAGCATGAATTTTTGAATTGAGCGGTCCGAGAAATAGAAATCTGGGTTTCTGCTTGGACAGACCAAGTCTGATTTTTCGTGAACATCTCCGAGTAATCAATCCCTGTACATATTTCAAGAATTACGAATTGTGGGATACCTTTCGAGACCTTATTTGTAATATTTACCCTCGTTGTAACCATTGCTAGCCCGTTGAGTGGATTGCTTGTGAGATTTATGTTTTGAATTTGCGGGAATGTCGAGAACTTACGTAATTTTGGTGGATAGTCTTCCTATGGTTCACGTTGACTTCAGGTTATGCTTTACTGATTCTTATGGGATTTTGATTTGTTTTCGGTTTTTGACCCAATCTCCATAGCCAATACCATTTAGAAGATCAGTCTTTTCTGATAGAACACATGTGTTAGTATAGAGGCGAATAGAATTTGATGGTTCTTGAGAATGGAGAGCGTTTTCGAAGGCAAATCCCCTTCAAATTACGCTTACAAGGATTCAGTATTTTCAAACAATAATTTAACCAGTTTCGCATGTTTTTTACCATTAAAACCTGCTCGGCTAGTCTCACATTTTTCATTCTGAAGATCCGTTTTGTTCGGCAATAGTCGAGAGGAAGACTTACTAGTATGACTTTTGTATCGTAGCTCGTAGTGGACACCTTCTCTGGTGCAGTCGGACACTTTCCTGGACATGTTCCCCGTCCATAGAAGATCAAATCTTAACTAGAAGCGGATTTCGATTCCCGAATACGGCCTAATAATGACATTACTTCGACTTGATTGCCAATTCATTCAACCTTCGTTCATTGTCACTGACTCCCGTTCCTACATTGATTTGTGGAAAACGGAGACTTTCAATTTTGCGTTGTCTCCGTTCGCGCTCAATGTTACTACTTCTAGCTTTATCAGTTAGCTGTGGATTTTGAGCGACACAAAGCATTACGTTTTCCTATTAGTACCGGCACACTCTCGTAAACTTACCCTTAGTTGTTTTCCTCCAAACTTGTGGTTACATTGCGCTAGTTTCATACTTACTCCAAGGCAGTCAGTATCCTTCAGTTTGGTCCTGCTCCCCGCAAAACAAGATTAACTTTTTCTCACTGTTTTCTTCACAGACATCAGCATCTTTACTGTGTACCAGGCGGCTTCACAAGAAGGTTGGGTGTTCATCATGTATCGTGCGATGGATTGTCTAGCCCCGTGGAAAGGAGTGATTTATTTTCTGTCAATGATTTTCTTCGTTGCGTGGTTAGTGAAGGTAAGTAGAGCATTAAATGTAATTCGCGAGCTTCTGGCTGTTCACAAAAGAAACTATCGTCTGTCCATCCATATTTTCTCTGGTACCCGTCGTCTTCTACGCAAGCAACCATGTAGATGCGCTACACCCAACAACTTATGCCTCACTTTTTCAGCCTAGGTCTTGGATTCACCGGTTTAGTCTGTTCTGCGAATGCAAATCCGTACCGAAAGTGTCACAGCACTTCAAGACCTTTATTAGATTAGATATGATACGATATGTGCGCCTAATTCGTCGCCGGTATAGTTATCTCAATGGTCCGGAACTTAGTAGAGAAAGTAGAATACTTGAGGTTGATGAGTTAATAACTTTTTGAGGTCACTGATAACAATCCTATCAGTTGTGTTTGGCCAGCCATACATGGTTAATTACAGACTGCATGGCACCGCACTGACCAGTCATCCCTTCCTTTGGTATGCACTTTGCACCCACAAAGTGTAAGGCCTTGCTCGTGGACGTGCAGTCACTGAACGCGCCACTTACGATCCAGGGAGAGTTACTGTAAGTTGTGGAGCGTTTTACGTATCTTGGAAGTTGTGTTGGTTCTGATTGCATTGTGACAGATGAGGCGAATGCACAAACCTGCAAGGCTCGGGCCGCGTTTGCTAACTGGAGACACCTATGGTGTCAGAGTGGTTTATCTCTGAATCTCAAGGAACGTGTGTATCAAGCTACAGTGCGGGCTGTTTTGTTATATGGCTATGAGACTTGGCCGAACTGACACGTTTTCATGTGTTCGACAACCATTGTCTCAGAACCATAGCTCATGTGGGTTGGTGTCGGCGAATCCGTAACGAGGCATTTATAAAGCGCGTGCAATGGGTACTTCCATTGAACAATGTGTCCAGCACCAGAAGCTGCGTTGGTTGAGACATGTGTTGCGTATGCCGAGCCATCATTTGCCGAAGAGAGTGCTGTTTTCCATGCCCAGTTCAGAGTGGCGTAAACAGAGAGGTGGCCAACCATTGACTTGGCAGAGGAGTATGAAGGTGATCACGAAACGCTTGGGTGCTGTCGGCGCTACTCGCCTTCCAGGATGGGGACCGCGTGATCCTCACTGTGCCTTATTGGAGACATTACGAGATATGGCTGCCAACCGATGTCAGTGACGTTCTTGTTGTCGGTTCCTATCCAGATTGCCTGAGTCAATGTCCTGAGGTGTAGGTACCTCGGAATGATTGTGGTAAGCTAGCATTAAGTCCCTTCCCCATCCACCTTTATTCTTTTCCTTACAATAAGGCTTTCAAATAAGTCATGGTTGTACGGCAGTGAAGCATCGGTGTTCAACACTGATGTCATGCTGTTGATGATGATTATAATGACCGCACCAATCTCCATAACTGATATCTGTGAATTTCGTTTTCTAGGGCATTGTTGACTTAAGCCAAAACGCTGGAGTTAGTTTTATTCATATTGCGCGAAAAACGCGCATCAGATGCAGCCCTAGGAGGTCGTCGTAATTTCGTTAGTCAATCAGTACGAAACTACGTGGATTGCATATGCATGCTTAAAGGCTGAATGACTAAGTATCTCCTCTGAGTATGGATTGGCCATGTTCCTGGTCAGCCACTTTCCGTCGCAGATTTGAATTTCCGGGGACTTGTTAGATGTAAGCTACTGATAATTGCCAGAGGAAATAAAACAGCTATGCACTACCTCTAGACCCCACAATTACAGTTTGTGAATGAATTAACTAATGAGTCTATTCCGTAAAGTTTACTGGCAGTTATGCATGTTCCTAACTTGCAAAACTGAAGATGACAGTAACTCATTTTAAGAATTAATTTTCCTTCGTGTAACGCGTTTTATACTGTGGTGAAATTTTCCTAAGACAAACAATGGATCAAAGTTATGTTGCGGCGTTCATTGCAACATCTTAACCCTTAGCTCGATTGGCTTCTGGGGACTTATCGGTTGTTTTTCGGTTTGTTCGTTTCTAGCTAGCTGACATCATGTTTAGACCGAATATAGTTGGGTTGTCCAGCTTTAAGGCGTCGCTTCTTCGACGTCCTTCTGTAGTTGACAAGCAGGCTGCTCTACCTATCAGTTTACTAGTTTTCCCTTATTTCAGAATGTGTTCATTGCCGTGCTGATCGAAACGTTCGCAGAAATACGTGTCCAGTTCCAACAAATGTGGTCACCCCGTCATACAGCAGACGCAGATTCTTCAAAAGTACGTACTTTCACAAGATTATCAGCTTTTTTAAGGATCATAAAACAAAGATTGTGATTTCGCTTGAATGTATTGGGTTTTACCCCAGTAGTGTCGACATTCAGCGCAAATTTACGTGGCCTTTTTGTTGACCCAGTCTGATTACTAAGGGTTTCTCATTTTCCCCTTCATTATTGAGCCACTCCTTTAGTAACACTTCTTCTGTGACGTTTTCATTCCCTAACTTTCAAATCTTCACTCGAAATTATCTGTCGACCTTCTTGAGAGGGTTGTGCAGTTGAGCGCTGTCCATCTTGAGTATATTTCAGTTAACCTCATTGTAAACACATATGCTTGTTTTTATAGCCTTCGACCAATCATGCTGTGTGGCGAAGTCAGATCTTCGTGACGAATGAGTTAGTTTCCAAAGCGAAACGACAACGCCTTCAGACATGCAACGCTTAGTTTTATCAGTGAGCCAATCTGATACATATGCAATGAGGCATGAAGTCGTACATCTACCTTAATGTGTGTTTTGAGAAGGAACGACTTGCCGCAAATTACCTAATAGCTGCAGTTCTATACTAACCTCCACATTTTGCGGAGGTGGAATCTCGTTTCTGCTGGAGTCTTGTTCTGGTGGTTTTTTCGGTAAATAGCGCACTTTGCCTCCCGGGGTAGACGTGAATCAATTTCATATTAAATACGCGAGGTTTGCCAACTGTGCAGCAAAGCTTCTTTCGATCTCCCACTTTCAAACTGGTCAAACGCAGACGAAACATGTGTTTGGTAATTGAGATCTTTGAAATGCCATTTCGTAATTAGCTGCATCTAACCCAAGTTATTACTCCGTTCAATTATAGTACATCGAAGGCAACCCTCGATCTCAGTACGGCTTAAAATTTGGTTTTCTTATCGCGGTAAAAACCAGACACCTTACGCTGTTGTTTGGTTCTATCGTATTAAAAGTGTATTCACTGGTTTCATGTTCACTAGTTTCCCAACTTCGATCCTGTTACTCTCACCACATGATGCACGGCATCTTACGGGTGGAGGGTTTATTTTCTGACTGTTACAAGACAGCCGAATGATGCCAGTTAGACTGAATCCTCAGTGTCCTCAAACCTACGGAACGTGGCCGAAGAATGATGGTGATGGAGAAGTATGAGATCCTGAGTCCATAGGACTAATCAGTCTAGTCGGAGTGTGCACCCAATTAGTAGATCAAAGGACCGGTCAGACGCAAATACAATAACCATCATAAAGAGGAAGAGGGAACTGCGGAACAAAACAATCCAACTCCAGAAAGCGAGACCACTGCGCAGTACAAAGTGAGGACGAGTGTGGGAGCTTAAAGAATGCTCGGTTGAAGTTCGCACCAGTAACCTCATAAAGTTCCAGAGAGCGTTCGGGTAGATTTTTTTACTCCTTACTTTACTTTAAAAACTTTTATACGCAACCTACATAAACTTGAATTTTAAAGGAAATTACAGGTGTGTTGATGTTTAGTCTAAGCTTACAAAAAAGATGTGTACCTTTGCTAAGAACCTGTTTAAGCAAAAAACTGAGTCATTTCGTCAGTTCACTCCAGACTTAGCTTTGGAAGTTTGATCGCCAGACCACATGGTTTACTGTTTTTCTGTGTAACGGTTTAAGCGCCGCTCTTACCATATTTGCTTGTTTAGCTGTGTACTATCGGCTTACCCGCAGAGCTTCTGCGTCTTAGGATTTTATACTTGTTTGGTCCGAAAAATTGACCAAAACATCACGGGTGGAGAGCATCCCGTAGTCGTTTCAGGTTTGTGCAAAAGTTATTTCGGAAAAGTTCTTTCTACATGAAAAACGTTTCTCTGGCCTGCTTAAGGCCTAATTGCCAGTGTTATGCATCGTTTTATTGGCCATTTGTTTTTTAATTTGTTCGCCTCGTCTGTCTTTTTAATGTGACCTTGCCTGTTGGTTTTGGTGTAAATTCCTTAGAATTCCTTAGAATTTCAGTCTTTAGGAAACTAGACAGCTGCTGTGTTTCCGGTTCCGTTGCTCAGGTTTTCCAAGCCGATGGCTTAACGTGGAAGTTGGTTCCTGTTCACGAGAACAAACCCAAAGGACTGGCTCCACGTTTCTTTCAGGAGGCAAGTCAATTTTTTCCATGTTCTCCATCTGAATGGGAAAATTTAAACTCACTGCACCCATAATTCTGACACCTCCAAAAGAATAATTCACACAGTCCTGTAGATTTTTTCTTGGCGTAAAACAACATAGCTTGTAATTTCGCTGAAAGCTCGCTGGCAGCCCAACGCCGCTTTCTCCGTCCTCGGAGCTCATCAGACAGGAGTAGTTCCAGGATTCCTACCAGACTGATGTTCTATTTGAACGCCAGATTGTGTGCAAGTGGCGAAATACACTAGTGGCAAATTACATCGGTGTTAAAGAGAGAGTTAAGCAAATCCCAGTTGAATCTGTTATGTGTGATATTCCTTAGCTGAGTGTGCTGCGCAAAGCCCACTTGATGTTTCAGTTAGCATGATTTCCGAGATATTGAGGATGTTTTTCTCCGCATAATGCAACCTCCCTAGAAGACTTCTGAAAACTCTCCGACACCGCAACACCGGCCCCCTTCCACCTTGGGTCTCATCACCACTTGCATACAATTTGATGTTCAGATTTAACTTTGAACTTTCCTTACTATTTCAAGAGCTGCCTGCGGTTTCTACTGCTTAAAATCCAAACGGATATTTTTCTTAAAAATTCTGTGGCTATATTCGATTACACTGCTATTGTGCTGCCAGTTCGAGCACTAGCGAAACTGCTCAGGTACAGGTCTGGTATCCGCTACGGCAGCGAAACGTCTGTGTTATGCTGTGGATGATGATGATGCTACCTTCCATTCAAGTGAATCACCAACTATATTTGAGGACTGTATAGTGGCAGCCGACTGAAAGTAAGCAGATCACAATGAAGTCATGTCTCAAATATCAATCATCTGTGAATTCTGATCGGTAGTCAAAATCCCCAGGAGATTGACTTGAACAACCACGAAAAAGGCAAATAGATTCGGAAAATGTATCGCTTTATGTGAGAACAAAAGCGATATGTGTACGTCTATGAATGCGTATTTCCAAACGTATAGCGGATTTTCAACCTCCAGTCTGTCCTCATCTTTAAAAACATCCAAATATTTCTTTAGGCTAGAGAACCTACATGTTATACGTGAGTTTCGTACTGCTACGGAAGTAGATCTATGCTTCAGTATCGAGAAACATCATACAGCTGGTTTACCTACGGTTCCTCACAGAAGTTTGAAGCCACAGTCTTCGTTAAAATTACCCGTAAATCTTTGGTGTTTTCTACCCGACTTCTGTTCTTTTTTGGCAGCTGGCCCTGGGTCAATCGACTTGAAATCAAAGTCCAGCTTCATCAAGCTCCAATTTAACCCTCCTTGACGGTTAACAATGATTGAATAGGTAATAAACCGAAGACTTTTACAACTCCTTTGATTTATTTGGTTGTGCTAGTACATATCCCGGACTGCCTTAGAAACTTGAATGTTGAAGCTTGATATCTCGAACCGTCTAATGTTTCGAAGTATTATCTGGGGATCTGCTAGATTCTTGGAATGGCCTGCGCGTCTAAATTCCCAAACCCAGCTGTGCACTAGGTGGGTGTTGACTTACTGACCAAACTATGTATATGAGCCTGAGAGTATAGACGCCAGCATTTGCGACCGGATGGCTGAGGTGTGCTATTCTTGGGTTCTCCGTGAGTCCCGATTTCACAATTCCTAACTGGCCATGTCCTTTCTGTGCAACTCTTACGTAGTTGGTGGACAGTGTTTCCGTTCAGATCTTTTCATTTTGTATAAGCATGTCAAAAACTGAATTCAATGAGTAGACTGCGGAGCAAAGAAGCTCTTCTATGATTGTCAGCTGAAAAACTCAAGACCTACTGTTTCTAGCCATTTTTTACCTCTTCGAACCATTTCCAGATTGTGCTCAAGTCCACGGGTTTCAACGTGGTGATCATGGTCTTGGTGTTGGCCAATGCAATCACAGCGGCCGCCCTACATTTCAACCATAACACGATACGTGATCCGTCAGCCAGCCATCTAAGTCAGCTGGATGGCTTCTACTACGCCGAGGTTCGTTATCCGTATGTTTATACCCAGTGGATTTGAAGCATGTCCCAATAAAATGAACGAAACCGGCTGAAAAAGAATAGGGGTATTCTCACCATCTGATTGGCTATCTATCTATTCGACTCTTTGTTTGCTTTCCTTTCCCAGACAAAAAAAACATGCCGTCTCAGAGGAATATACAAAAACCACCCCCTTGGAACTGGTTGACTTTGTCACTAGGCTTTCAACATTCCGTTGCCTAATGAATTCGTTTTCATGAAGTGCCGAGGTAAAATTTGTCACCTACTTTCCGATGGATCAACATACAATAAATATTTTCAGTAATGTTGTTCATTATTCTCTGTTACTTTTTTCCAGCTAGTATTCACTGCCTTATTCAACCTCGAGGCCCTCTTCAAGATTTGGTGCCTCGGTTGGTCCAGCTACTGGTACCGCTCTCTGTTCAAGTTTGAACTTTTTCTGTGCGTCGGGACAACGATACATTGCATCCCGGTGCTTTATCGCACAGAGTTCACCTACCTTGCTGTGAGTCCATTACACAAAAGAATAACGGTGGTAAGAGTTCAATAAGCAATGTTTTACTCATTGCCAGGCCCGCGCTTCCTCTACTCAGCCAGTGTTTCCAGTAATATATTAACAGTGCCAAACAAGTGAACTCTTTATGATAGTCTTCTACACAAGCTATATTGCTTCAGAACCGTAATTGACTCCTCTATTTAGATCCGTCTGTCGTTGGGTGCAGTGAAACGTATTCATTTTCACGGATTCCACCTTCATCTAAAAACTTAATCATGGATTTTGATTTTCCAACTCCCGGCTGTAGAAAATAGTTTTCTATCAAGGCATAGACCAAGGGCTAAACACGTCTACAGATCTAAAGAGCCTCCTCGAGTTTCTTATGTACCCACAAGGCAGTAAATGGGCCTTTTTCTTCTTCTGTCATTCAGGTGTTGCGTACTGTCAGGCTGATCAAGGCGTCTCCTATGTTGGAAGATTTTTGTTTCAAAGTGAGTCATTATGTTTCCAGTACTTCTGAGACAAATTGCCATCTTAAAACCAAACTTGAAAGACCACTCAATATTCACACAGCCATCTTTTTAAGATGACTTCTCAGCGTTTTAGCCACTTGCCATTTTAGTTGGTTCTCTGTGAAAATTTAGGTTCATTCAATTGCATCTCTATCCACACGAGATTTAACTTGCGTTGTCGATTATTTCTGTCTAATTTCAGATATTCGGGCCGGCCAAAAAATTAGGCAGCCTAATTCTATTCACCACCTGTTTCCTCGTGATTACATCGACGTTCAGTCTGCAGCTGTTTTCTTCTTTCCAAGCCATGGATAGTAGCTTTGATCGCTTTTCAACTTTTCCCAAGGTAAGTGCGGGCATTATTATTGTTCCTGGTCGTTGGCTTGTTCGATGAGCTGTGCAATTTGATTGCAAACGTTTCATCACCAAATCTATCGTGTTCCAATAGTGTTCATCGTCGGTTCATACCTTTAATTTCACGAATACTGAACAATATACCATCCTCTCTTTGTCTTTGGCTGCAACATAAGCATTTCCATAACGAAAATCAATAAAGTATTGGGACAAACTGAATCTATCCAGTTATCTCCAGTTTGCTAATCGTTGCTTGCGGCAACCGGGTTCGAGCTAACGGATCATTGGTAAAAAGTTGGCTTTTACGGTATAGATTGATACATATATTTTCAGTTGAATGTGAATTTCAAATACCATAAAACTTGTTCACTAAGATTTCATCAATAAAAGAAGTCTGTAGGAATTCCTTGAGAAAATGAAGGAAGTTAGCCCATTGGAAAAGTCTGGAACTGATTTAGAACTCATCTTTCCGATAGGGTTTGGTAAACAATCGGTAGTTTTATAACTGGGAATCCTCAGCACCCAAGTCATTCCTTAAACAGGAGGTTCATGTAACCACTCAGTGTTTATGTGGTATCCATCAACACACATGTCGGCCCAACCAAGATTTCTGAAAGTCGCTTTCTCCCGCAAATTTCCAGTCAATCGAAACCAAAGCGACGGAAGCGAAAATCAACCAAAGATAGACAACTTCGTAAGTTTGACTCAGCTTTCTAGTGAATCCATCGACTAGCTATCATAACGTGATAAAATTACCGAATAGACTGCTAAGTGAAGAAGAGCTTTGTCTATTGTAGAATGGCGGTAGAGTTTTGCGGTAAGGTTAAGGGCCATCGGGGTGAAAGAAATAATTTCTAGCATTGAGTTTGTGTCTCAGAAACCTCCTCCAACGAAGGCGGGAAATCTGCGGATGCAACTGTAGCCAGGAGCTCAAAACATAGCACTAGCCTAGAGCGGGAAGCATCAAATATCCTAAAACTAGTGGACAATATAGCGGTTATAAATGCGGATCTTGGTAAACACACCGTTGTCACAAACAAGACCAATTATCTACAGAGGATCCTTACTGGCAATAGTGGGAATATTACATCTTATGTAATGTAATTGGTATCGACTACACCCAAAATGTGCAATCCAACCATGGCTTCACTGCCTAAAAAGTCCATGAAGCAAATATCTCGGTGAGAACGATAGTAGACGGAAAAAGAACCCCACACCGGAAAATCATGGCTTCATATAACTTTGCCAAAAGGTAGTGGGATTCACTGTGGAACCAGATGACATGTGTGTAAGTTTCCATGTCAACTCGTTATATACCAGTGCGCGAAAAGAAGCCTCTTTAGAATTAGCCAGGCGTTGCAACCAGCGGACACACCCTTTTCAGAACGGATACAGCTTACGGTGGAGGAAATAATGGAAAGCATGAAAGCATGCCTGAATCTCAATCACTTCGTTTGTAACTCTGTGGTTTACACTCAAGAACAAGGTCTAGAAGTGGAATCTCAAATGTCTCGAGTTTTGGCAAGTAATTTTATGGATAATTTCGAACAGAAAGCTTTAGCCGGATTCCCGTACCCACCCGTCTGGCTTTATGTAGATGACATTTTAGTCACGATTAAATGAGACATCAGTGAGTTTTTAGCTATCTGAATGACCTGAATCCACGCATCAAATTTTGTATGAAGATAGCACCAAATTCGGATGCACTACCCATTTTAAACTGTGACATATAAGGTCGGGGAAAACTAAGAACCGCCGTATGTCAGGAGCCAACCAACACTGAAGCGGTTTTGAACTACTTATTTGCCTATCCGAAGTCGGCGCTCGCTAGTATTGCCTCTTAAATGTTTAGCCGAATTAGGTTCGCGTGCACAGAAGTTGATAGAGTGGTGGCCCAAATTTAAGTAAATGACAAACTTCGGGGTGGTGGATATCCAGCTAGTTTGATTGGGCGTCAATTATGAAGGGCGTTGGTAACTGTGGCGAAACTCATCAAGAAATGGATTGTAACTACTGTTAATCTATATAAACCAGGGACACAGTCATTCGAAGGATTCTAAAAACGGCTAACATAGGAGTAACGTTCCAGAAGGGGAAACTCTGCGCTGTGCGCAAGTGCAACTGAAGGATCGCCTCCCGGCGAACAGAACCAGGGAATGTGTATACGGAATTCAATGCCATGACTACACTAAAGTCTAGAGAGAACAGGCAACCAGAGAACTTCACGTCAACTAGGCGAGCACAGGAGTAAATATACAGATGAACGTCGAGCGTTACTGGATGACTCAGCAACGGCAAAACATACACTGGACACGGGACACAGAAAGATTTGGAAAATGCTGATGTTCTGAGGCGGAGAATACGGTTTTACGCCACATAGACTGATAGCCGAATTGGTGGAAATCGCCTTGCATCCCAGTGTAAATAGAGTCGAAGGCGTAAAACTGACATGTGTGTAAAGAACGGTTTTTGATCAGTCGAGCTGACACTGGATGGTATGCGGCTATCAAAATGAAGACTCATCAACGGAAGTGTTTTGGATCTGATATGCATGAACCAAACCGAGAAGAAATTCCTCTAATCTCAACCCGCCTGAACTTGTCATGGTACTTACAAACCTACACAGACCAACAAAGTTTACCAGTGACGCCCAAGCCTTTTCATTAAGTAAAGCGCCTTGAAGTGGGAGATTAAGGAACCAAACCCGATCAAAAATGACTTGAAACTCCCCCACCCATAATCCGTAAGATTTAGGCAACCATACTAATCGACTAGACCTTTTAGGTGACATTCAGCCCTGACCTATTGGGCTATTTGGAAAAGGTCTTGCTGATTGGTTCTCTGCCTTAAAACCTGACCACATTGGCAACCTACTCACTTGACTTGACGAAGCTTTTGTGTCAAAAGCGAAACGCTGTCCAATTACAAAACTACCAATTGTTTACCAAGGCACTCTGAATAGTTAGCCTAGTATTTTTTTTACTGCTTCACACACTAGTATGTATATCTGACTGCTGTTGGCTAGTCTTTCATTCCATCAGAACTGAATACTAACAACACAGCCCGACTCGGTTGAACACATGATTCTCTTATAAAGGTTTGTAACTCAGTCGCTAATCTCTCGGTGCCATTCTTCAGGGGCGACATAGTGTTCCCATCCATGGTTATACTGATCATATATTATCCAACTCCTGATTATACACCGATAGGCTTCATTATGGATGTGGAATCAGTAGTCATCAGGTCTGAACACATGGTTAGGTGGGTAAACTTCTCCACAGCTTATTGTAACATCTGAAAGCGCAGTCACAACGCAAGCGGATAAAAAACCGTTCAGCTGTAGCATCTCTTCGGTGCCTAACTGCCATGCCACCATAAGGAAGCATGAGGGCCGGGATATTGTCGGGTTGCCCAAGCCTAGACAGAGGAAGTCGAGAGGCAGAGGTCAGGTTCGACCCACGGACCTTCCGATCAGTAAATTCGGGCGCTGACCACTGGGCCATTTCGCGAGCGGATCAGTTATGGTATATTCTTGAGCGACANTAGATCTTTTGCGAAATCGCGTACCACGTAAGCATTCTATAGGATAATTTTATCCAAAATTTCTGGCATAATACAGATTGACGGGGTATTGGGCAACCTCGGCGTAAAGCATTCCGCTGCCTCGTCGTCGATAACTCATTTCCGTTTATCGGATGTGAACAAAACACACCGAATCTTCATCATCTCACCTCATTCGGTCACGTTCTTCCAAGAAAGCACTTATTTGCAACACATAATCAGTTAGTTTGAGACTGAAATATCCTTACAATTATCACAGTTTCTATGATGGGACGGCATATCGGACCACCTCACATACCTGATGACTTTTTCCGGGGACTATTTCGAACACCCACTCGTCTGCTGCTTTGTTCAACACTTTATGTTTCCCTGACGTCAAGGCCAACGACGTTGTCGGGTCCTCAATGGAATTCTCTCATCAGCTGCGCGCTAGCAATTAAGTGATGTGGTGTTATCACTGTACCCAAATTCGCACCCTCAGAGTTTTTTTCTGGAGGTTGGCCTTGAGTATTTCCCGCTAGGGACTTCCTTTTCCTTTCCGTTTCCAGGCATTTGCATCCATGTTTCAAATTCTTACACAAAAAGGCTGGGTCGCTGTGATGCATGACACAATGGACGTGGTCACTAATCGTGGAGTTATCACTGGTGTGGCCGTTTATTTCGTTTTTTATCACCTTGTGGTAACATTGGTGAGTGTTTACTTCTTAAACAGACAAATTGTAATAAAAATTATCATTGATTAGTGAAAAGTTGCTAGTGTCATTCTTGGCGTCTAGCGCTTTTCCACACAGACCCGGACCTGTCCACCACATGCTTTTGTTTTAGCCGACTTGAACGGGTTCGTTGGCTAACGGATAACAGGCGCACTTCTTTGATCTTAGAGGATAATCTTATATTTTGTAGTTTGGTAGATCTTCACTTACATTTCACGACAGGCTTACTAGTCTTACACTAAACGACAGTATCGCTATTCTTTTTAGATCGTTCTAAGTTTGTTTGTTGCCGTGATTTTGGACAACTTGGAGTTGGATGAAGATATCAAGAAGCTGAAACAGGTAATTTGATTTAGCCTCGCTTCAGCACTCGTTTTGCTGCAATTTCGATAAACAATAGTCATGACACTGGAGAAGAACCCTCTTTGGATTCCAAAACCCGTTTTCCACAGGTCTATGACGACAGGGTAGTACGGCAGCTACCTAATTCCCTTGCCGTAACACAATAGCACGATCGATCAACTCCAGTTAGCCTGTTCTACTCCTGAAAGGTGTGTAGTAGGTAACACGGACGGAGCAGCGTTGGATAGGATAACCTCCGAATCAATTTGTTGAGGTGCTATTGTACCTTAACGTGTGCTATTACAGTCGCCTCACGCACTGTATCACGCTTCTCGTCTTGGTATACACTCCGTTCAAATCAGTTTTCAGCTCACCACCGAATTGCAGTGATTTCAGCTGTTGCAGCTTCGTTCATCGAGAAAAAGGAGAATAAGGGAATGAGAGCCAGATGCTGGAGGCGATGACCGGATTCATGCATTGACGACAAACGAATATGTTTGTCCAGTATGGCAAGATGTGGAGTTACGCAGTAAGGAAAATAGTTTTGATTCACGAGCGCCATTAGCTGCGTGATACAGCCAGGATCACTAATAGTTGATTTATTTTGTGCCGCGGTTCGCATCTGGGGAGATAGCATTTATAAACGTGACTGAGTTGATTGGTAAGGGCTTTCATGCTCCGTTGCCACTTCGTGAATTGACGACTCCTCGACCGTCTCCATCCGATACAAAGTTTGGCGATGGGGCTCTATGATGAAAGCGGTCCTCTGGCACACGAAGTACATAGCCTAATCAGCGTATTCTGTGATGTATATCGTGAGGAAGTTAACTCTCCCGAAAAACGCCTAAATAATAATAAGCTGATCTCCCCATCCGACTCATGTAAAGCTTCGGAAGCGCCACTGACTAAAGGTAGAGTATATGAATGTCTTCCACAACCAGCAACCACGTCTTTGATCCATAAAGTAAGACAGATCGGACCACGTCATTGTACGTTCCATCCTTGGTGGTCAAGCTGATGTCATGTCGGTGCCTCAAATGTCGGAGTTTGACAAACGCTGCCCTGGACTTCCCAATCTGGGAAGCAATTCCGTCTTTCGTCAGTTGGCTGGGTCTAATGCATCTGTTCAGACAGACGAAATTATCTGTCACATCGATCGGTTAACTTAAAAGCATGAGATCTTGGTTTGATCTCTACACTTTACAGGTATGACTCGCAGCAGAATGATTTTGGTTATTCAACATAGTTTACATTCACAAAGGATGTGATCTAAGGAGAGGAACATCGCCAGTGTACTCAATGTCCGTAGGCGTACGCCCCGGTAGTATTTCGATCCCCGAGTTGTTGAAGACGGGTAAAGAAGATTTAAGCAGCATATCGATTACGGAGTGAAAGAGAAAAAAAACAGAAACTCATGCCTTACACCACTGAATGTATTGAAAGACAAGTACGCGTCCACAGGATGAGGCCTATAAAGCCTTTGTAAGACAGAAGAATTTAGAAGCGATACCCTTCATTGTCAGACTGCCACAGTTCCTGAAGACCAATGGAGTCAAACGCATATCTGTGGTCGAGAAATACGATCACTGTTGATCGATGGAAGAAAGCGATTCCCCTGCTTGTCTAAAAGTGAAGATCTGACCGACTGAACTCCGCCACAGACACTTGAATCCCATTGGACAATTTCTTTTGTTGTGGGTGTTTGTGGGATACGTGATGTTCACTTCATACTACTCTCACGATATGAAGAGGGCCAAGTAGTACATGCAGTCGCGGTAGCAGCCTGCCGTCACAGATATTCAAAATCCGGTTGTCGGAACCCTGTGAAGATTTTCTCCAGTGTCTTGACGATTGTTACTAGGTATATGAAAGTCAATCCTACGGCAGTTTGCAAGCAAATCTGGTGAGCGTTGTACCATATCTGTGGTTGAACGAACTTTTGCACCAGTCGAGCTTAATTAATATTTCACAGCATATAGCAGTTCAATTTCGAGCAATGGCTCGTGCGTTTCTCCGATGGACTTTTGATATTACCACTTCGCCTTTCATCTTTATTCATTTATGTTAATCTTTTCTATAATAGCTGACAGTATCCACTAAACGGTGTTGTTCCTGGTCACCACGCGCTAACTTATCACCCATCTTCCGTCATTATCCCTGTGATTACCAGAATCGACTCCCGTTTCACTTTCGCAAACTTTATCAGGAGAAAAGCAACCCGAATCCCGATTGCACAGTCCCTTGGCTTCGGCCAGAATATACCGCTCTGTGCTGCTGCCTAGCCTCGCAAGCACCTGTTCTTGTTTGCTCACTCGTCTGCATTGTGTGGGGACACGAGGAGATCGAACCTCATTTCAGCTCGATTGCTCCCAAACGTAGAATCGATTTGGCGTACACTAGCTGCTCGCTTATTCTATCTTGTTGTGTCTGTATATCGCTCCGCACACCTGGACTATTTCCTTTCTCTGCACGTGTTAGTGTCTGTTCCACGCCCACGTCCCACACACGGTTGGGTTATTTGTTTCGATCGTCCGTTTTCCTGCCTCCTAAATCCGTTTAAGGTCGACCAAAACAAGTAATAGTAGAGCTGAATACTGTTGTTTCTTTGGGGTCAGTGGCACTGTTTCAGTTAGGCTATTCACCTGACGCGCACTAAATTTCGACATTCGAGTCTAAAAGATAGCGAGGAAGAGGTGCATTTCTAACAATTTATCTAGTGTTTTAAGGAAAAAAAGGTCCTGTACCAGAATTCTGTTCATAAAACAATGCCATTGTTTTTGTGTACCATCGTCAGTAAATTCGTTTTAGCTCTTGGACTTTATTTGTTTTCTAAAGCCTATTTGACATGCGAAACTGGTCAAAAAGGTGTTCTTCCTCCGTCCACATGCGTAATTTTCATGAGTCTCTGTCAACTTTCAATGAATTTTAAATCTTAAATACTAAACTCGTTGAATTCCACAGAAAGGGGGGTCTCTGGAAGCTATCCAAATTTCGCTATGAGCCACTGACTGGTTGAAACGCAGCAACAGTGCTCCTATGGGGTTTTGTGCAACCAGCATAGATTGCACGCACCAAGCAAACTGCCCGCAAGAGTACTGGTGGGAAAGCCCTGAGGAGGCAGCTGGCGACGAAGGTCGCGCGCAAAACATAGATTGCACCAAGCAAACTGCCCGCAAGAGTACTGGTGGGAAAGCCCTGAGGAGGCAGCTGGCGACGAAGGTCGCGCGCAAAAGTGCACCAGCCACCGGTGTTGTGGGGAATCACCATCGCTACAGACCTAGGACCGTCGCTCTCGTTGAGATCCGTTCTTGTGCAAGCACGCACATCAGAATGGGTTTTCAGGTTGTGTACCGAACCATGAGCTCAGTACAAAGTAGCCAAACGATGACTTGCCTTTGTTGTTCAACACTGGACTAGAGGTTTTACACCACTTGACTGTGTTTTGTTGGGAACTTTGCTAAGCTCCCAAAGCCACGATGTGGTATCATCACTTGTTTCACCAGTCCGCTTGGATATGACTGTTGGGTATAGGGCCCATTTTCGTCAGTCGGTTAGGCTGTCGCATCGCCGATTGTTCGATCAATGACATGCTGGTAAAGACCGTTGCTCGGCTCTTCGAACGTTACCAGAACAGAAACATGGTAGTTCGTCAATCTCATTCCGACCAGGGTGACATTGGTGTTACACACGTTATTATTTGGCTATTCGGTACAATTGGCACTTATATGCTGTGTGAAACTGAGACGCCTGTACGTCAGAGATCAATATACTCTTTTGTACTTTCGATGGAATGGGATCAGTTTACGCAGCTCATAGTTTTCAAGAGACTTGGAGTCATAGGACAGCTCTTTTCCAACCTAAGGTCACTGCAGGACGCGAACACGGAAGTCTTTTTTGGTTTATATGTGTTTGGAAGGAAATTTGTTGAAATGCTGCGTTTCATCACCTCAAAAACGTTTAGATAAATTTTGTACACCGAGGGGAGCAAAAACAGTAGCCCGCTTTTCACGGGTAAGCACTGTGTCACCTTTTTCTGTTTTCTAATCGTCCTTGCCCCGCCAAAGACGCTCAAAATTGTGTTCAACATCGGGTTCTAATAAGCCCTTGATGCCCTCAAACGAGTGTTCTTTCTGATAAAGGACCACTACAGGAAGACATAGTAAATCACCACAATAAGCGGCTCTTCAATAGAGGATACCTGGTTCTTAGGGACGTTTCTGAGGTTCCTCCGTTTTTTTTGTTAAGATCTTTAATGAATTATTAGACAATAAGCCTTTAAGGGGTCCCATGGGACCGAAAACCTTTCCTCAAAGAGACACTACTGCGCTTGGTGTCAGATTTCCCCGTTATTGATATTGGCACGTAAACTCATAGGCGAATGAGCTCGTGTTGCTAACACCATGGGGCAGTGTTGTATTTCAATGGGGAGTTTCTTTGACTAACATGTGAACAGTATTCACGTTTCCAAGCTATTAGGTTTGTTTCAGGCTGATGTAGTCAGGTGATCATGGTAGAGCTTTTTACCCTGACAGATTGTCAGCCGAGCCAAAATACGCTGGCTGTGTCTGCTATGCGTCGTTACTTACAGGTCAGAACTACCATACAGCATTCCTCAGTCTTTTAAGTTGTCTTTTTTGAGCGGAGGAATGTGTTTAAAACTCTGAAGCTAAACCACAAACTATTCTCTTGAGTTTCGAGGAATTATTTCTTGAGGAACGCGCTGAATCCAACCAAGGACCAATCACTCTAAGGAAACATTGACTGTTTTGATCAGAAGGAACATCCCCGTTCTCAACTCGGTTAATCACCATATACGCAGAGGATTGCAAGGATCGAACCCCCGATAGAGCTTTACATTCTCTTTGGATGACAGGCTCTCCGAGTGGAAAATGACTCGGTCATGAACGGACATCGCAGACCCGCTGCCGTTGACTAAATCTGAGACTCGCGATGTGCCTAATTGGAATACTGGAGGTTGTCAATATATTAAGGTATTTTTAGTAATTTAGAGTTAAGACGAAAACCTGAAAACAGATTTTCGCAACCAATTCCTCCAGACCTAAGAAGGAGATATTACCATTTCAAGCCAATTTCTGCAAGGGAAAGTGACAGACTTAAGGAGCGAAATTGAATAAATTAATTTAATAGCCCTCAACGGCCTGCTTGTACGACTTAAACCCTCTGACGATAACTGTCTTGCGGTGAAATAAATGGAGTATTCACGATGCAGTAAGTTGTTATGAAGAACAGCTGCAACTTGTTTGGCTGGATGTCTTAACTGGTGATGTGAAGGAATCAAGCTACACCTTCGTATGACAAGTTGAGTTGAATGATTAGGGAGTTCACGAAACACTGTCTCCAAGGATTACTGAGGCTGTCAGTTTTTTGGTAAGCAATACGGTTATGGTGCTGTACATCATGAAGACAGGTAGTAGCCTGGATACCCACGTTCAAAGGTCCTAAAAATTAAGTCTTTCCGCTTACTTGAAACATCACCGAATCCGTTTCCGGGATAACTGTCCTCAGTGCAATCAACTATGCTTAGGATAACTTCATCGATCTCTATTGTGTATTTGTAGAAGAGGCATTTGAGTTTCTCCGCTGTTGTTTTGTTTATCAAGGTGTTTTCTGAAATGGATCTTTTTTGGCCTAACAAATAAGTAACTACCATGAAAAACCGCGGTTGGTCCTTAAGTGTCTCATACCTCTGAGGATTCTCATCTTCATTAGGGTTATTCAGGTAGGTCTGGTTTGGATGTGTCACTGAACTCTTAGCAGCAGCTACGTACTGTCGCCGTTGTTACCACATTCATCTCGGCAATAGTTGCAACAGATGAACTTCTTTTATTTGAAAGCAAGGCCAAGTAGGTGAGCGTTTGCCGTTATTCTACTCAATAGTTGAGTTATTCATCTTTCAGCCTTCTTCACAACACCTTTTTACCTTCTGTTTTACAGTTGAAATTGCGAGAAATAAGTGCCGAAACCCAACAGAAGCTCCCCTTGCGTTTGAGGGTGTTCGAAAAATTCCCGTAAGTTCATTCGAACTAAAGGTTGGTTCTGCTCCAACTAATTTTCATCCACTCATAAACGTGGGGTTCATCTGGGTTCCATGAGTGTCTCTCGCAAAACCAAAGTTGTTTGCAAATGATTGTATTTTGTCTATTCCACTCACTCGCTTTTCTTTCCGATGACTGAATTCTACAAATCCATCGTAGTTTTATGCTAGCTCAGCATCAGCTGGCTAGGGTCTTGATTGAAACAAAATTCTGTTTTCTTTTCTGTCGGCCTGTTTTGAAACGGCTCTGTCTGCTTTGTTCGCTGAGCTTCATCTTCCTTATTTCAATTCTTGAACTTGTTCTGGAGTTTAAGTTACAGTAGCGCACGATTATCCTCTGGGTGATAGTAAAGGAAGCCGACACACCAATCGTTTGGTAGTCCGATGTCCATTTCCCGACCCCGTTTTCTATTGCATCATAGTACAATGCGATAAACAGCGAAAGAACATACACCTTCAGCTATAACCCCCTGAAATCTATATAATAGGGCGATTTGCACTAATACTTGTCAGTTTTCGAGTCCTCCTTAGTCTCACTTAGCAGATTGGCGTCGGTGTTGTTTGGGTGGTGTTTTGAATACTGAGCTTGTAAGAAGGCGGATGCTTTTGTAACAGCAAATATCGATCCGCATGTTTTGCGAAGTATTGTTTTCCTTTTACTCAGCCATTGAGCTTCGTTTGTCCCATTTTCATTTCCCAGAAACCGGCCCCAGATGATTCAGCTCACACGGCTTGTATCAGACTTCCTGATGCCTAAAATAAGAGATAGTTTCATGCGGCAGTTTGCTGCCGTTTCGGCTCTTGAAGAAGTGGAGGATGAGACAATTGAGGAAATGCTATCGAGTATGACCAGACAAACGCAGCCCACAGAACCTCGTCGTAGTGTTGCAAGCCGTATCAAGGGATTCTTTGAACCGGCTCCAAGCAGTGCGCAGTTGGAGACCATTCGGGCAATCAAGCGGAAAGTTCATGGATTGCATGGCCAAGAAAAAGTTCGCGCCATCATCTACTTATTGAAGTACGTTGTTGCTCATTTCCCTTAGGAGAGTATAGTGCACTTATGAACTACGTAACAAAATGCCATCGGTGAGGGTCGCGCCGTCAATGGCGTTCGTGCATCCAAGCTACTGCCTTCAATGCATAGTTGCCTCCCCAATGCTTCCACTTAAAATCCCACTGACAGACCTGTATTTACGCACCAATTTATCAGCTCCCGCCTCCATTGCGCAACTACGTACCCCACCTCCCCAAATCATCGATGGATGGAACTGTGGCAGCTAGAACCGCAGTAAAACAAATGCGTGGTTCTTATGGCTGATAATGGTGCTGATGAGGTTAGATTCTCAACCTCCTTCCCACGTCTGTTGTGATCGGTATTCGGGCATTTTCGCTTGATATTTTCGTACTGCAATAAATATTCTATTAGTTTGCAATTAACTATTCAAGATTTGAAGATTTACTGATGACCACCTCTGTGGTGTTTCAAGCTGTTCCATTCAAAACGAGAAAAACATCTCCAGATGCAGTATGCTCAGCAAATGGCATTCATCACGTAACTGATGTTCTTTTTTTGGGGTTGAGGATATCTGAACCAGCACCATCCCTTCGCATTTTGAAAAACGAAGAAACAGATGTAGCAGACTGTTTGCTGAGTGTATCCTTTGTGAGCGTTCTGCATATGCAGGCAAAGATGGTAAAGTCCACTTGTTCCTTTTTATTAACTAAAGACAACCTGTAATCATTTACTATTTGTAGTTTTAAAAGACAGAATGCCATTTGGACTTGTTTGATCGACGATTTTAACTTTATTGCAGTGAGTCCAACAAAACTCGATTGTTGAACACCGAACAGGCATCCTCAACGGGAACGCGTTCGCTCCTATCGACACAACACCAGATACGGCTGGATCGAAGGTGAGGTGTTAACTCGAAGAAAACTTCGAGAGACTTGTGGTAATGGTTTTATTCTATCGAATCGTGGTTGGCTGTCTTCATAGATAAGCCTTACTCAGTCTTCCTCAGCCTCACAATCAAATAATTACGTCGTTTCTCGGAACACTAGTCTCGTCCTAATGTTCCCTTAAGATATCCTGAAAACCTATTCCCAATAGGCAGTCCCCTCAATTGGTCTCCTGTAAACCACGTGATGTTGGAAGTAGCTATGAATATCCCACGTCTATTTTGTAACTCTTTCATGTTAATGCATGCACTCACAACCTTCTTCAGAAGCATGCGCCATCGCACTGGTAATGCCCTTGGTGCATCCAAGTCTTATCGTGCCAACGGAGAAATTCGCACAACTGCAGGCCGAGCGGACACTCGGGAACACGAGTCACGAACAAAGTCTGGGGATGGCTCAAGCCGCGTGGACATCAAGCTACTCCAGCAAAAAGCACAAATGGCTGAAATCAAACGGTGTGTTTCGGTTTCATGAATTTCATATTAATCTTTGCGCAATTATTGGTCTTGCAGTGGCTAATTTTTGTACCTTTCCACAAAAGTTGCACCAGAATGACAAACTGGTTATTCTAGGGTGGTTCCGTTTGTGGCTTCGTCTCATCAGTCATTGACCGATTCAGATAATTATCTGGCTACTCATGAGTAGCCGGAAATTTTAGCAGGTCACCGTGTAACTTCCAAGCCGTTGGCGTCAAATTTTATCAATATTGTTGGCTCCCGAGAAGCTCAAACACACGAGTGCCTTGTCCTTACCGAGACTCGTCAGGTGAAAATATAGGGATCAGACACCTAAACTGATGACTAACAATCTCAGATTGTGGACTAATTCCGGTGACTAGTTTATGTAACTGGAGAATGTGATTTAGGTACATAGGTGACAGCTTGAACCTATTATTCGGATGGTCTTGTGTCTGGCCCCTCTACATCTACCCAAGGAATCTCACTAAAGATGAGAATCTTCATGTTGCTGAGCATTTTGACATGCGACCACACCCTTACGTTACCATGTTCACATTGGTTGCTGGGATATGCTCTGTTCGTAATACAATTTAACTGAACATTTATAGACACAAGATCGTTTCATGGGTACATCCATTTATTCTTCTATACACTTTCTTGAATTCGAAACTTACTATGCGAACTCATCTTGTTCGAATGTCTAAAATCCTCGCGTTGAAATTTGGCCTTCGAAAACTTCCAGAAGTACTCCTTGTGTACTCTTTGTGAAAGTATTTATATCTTTAGTATGTTTAGTAACTTTTTATTTCCGGGCTACCTGGTGTCCAGGCGGACTGGTGAAATGCGAAGCCATTTCCAGAATTAGGGAGGCCAAAGTAGCATTACTAACCTCCGACATTTATGGTGCCGACGTAACGTCAGCTTGACTGTCAGGAGTAGATTGTACAATGCCGCGGCCCGATCTGTCCTACTTTATGGAGACGTGGTCACTACACGTAGAACATATGTGCCTCCGGGCAACAGAACCATTCGACGTCAGTACACAGATTGGGCCACCGCATCGAACACACCCTTTTATCCGCTGTACTGCTTATAAGTGAAGGGATGTGTATTTAAATGCACATGTTCTCACCTATCCCCACAGTAAAGTCAGAAAGTATAGTCGAATCTGGTTGCAGACACTTTAGTTCAGTCAGTTTGAACCGCAAATCAGACAGGATGCCAAGTCCTTACTACGTAATAATGACTCATTATCTTGCGTCTTGACCAAAGGAGCTTGGCAAAGCAGCGATCATGTAATCTATTGTGATTTCTCAACGATTCTGTGGACAGCATGTTTATTGATATAACTTTATATGTAGAAAGGCATTATTGTTAAGCGCGATTCACGACAATTGTCCCTCACTCTGATGCTCTGTCGTAAGGTGTAAGCTCTGTATGGTGCCAAGCACTTTGTAGCAACGCATTTTGTTCTTTATTCCGAGTTTTGTTTCTCGAGTTGAATTGCAATTGAACCACAATACCCCACTTCCATCCAATTTTCCGCAGTACTCAACAGGAAGTAGAATTGCGCGAGAACCATCCATTTTTCGATAGACCATTATTTGCACTTGGACGGGATAACCGCCTGCGGCACCTATGCCTTCTTGTGGTAGAAGCCCGGCATAAAGGTGGAGAATCTTCCGACTCCTCTGACAACGGCAGTGCGTTTCAGTGAGTAATATATCTGCCTTCCTTTTCCGAAATCTTTTTTAATTAGTAGACTGGATGATAGCGTTTAGGTAAATTCTCACTATTCAAACAAGCCGATAAGCTTATCCAATAGGCAGGTACCAATGAAAGTTTCACGAGGCCTACATGGGACCAGAAGAAAATCCGAAAACAGCTGTGCCGTGTATGGTATCTGCATAAAAGACGAAAGTCGAGCTATCGTGTTGTTCATAAAAAAATCTAAAGTCTGTGATCTGAACAACACATTATTGGTGGTTTATGGACCAAGAAAAACTCTAGCTGTACCAGCTGTGCGATTGTATGCACGGTTGATTTTCTGGTTATTCGGACACAATATACCCGGCGGCTTTGGTTTGGATGTATCAGTTTCCTCAGTTATGTTCCAAAGCGCCTTGTTCAAAATTTCTATTGTTAATTGGTGAAAGATTGCCAAAGTCTGTTTCTCAACAACCGGAACATTTTTCTATCTATCTGTTTTCGTTAGCAAACTGTTGGGCCATGTGCCATACTTGGACTGGGCTGCAATCATTGTCACCATACTTTCGTGTGCTTCGATGTCTGTTGAGACGCCCCAAGCAAGATTGATGAACACACCGAAAGTGCAGGTATGTGTAACTTCAGAATTTGAGCCACATTTTCTATTTAATTATCTTCAAGCCACGTAAAGCATACAGAAAACTATGCTGTTAATCCTTGAGACGATCCGTTTAACTGTTTTAGTAGATGAACTGACAAAGCAAACAAAGCTTCGATACAGAATCTAACTTATCGGCTTTTCTCCTCAGGATACATATATTTCAGTCTCCTATAGTCTGAAAACTGCAGTTTATCACTCCATGGAATTCAAATTCACACACGTTCTTTTAGAGGGAGGTAGTCATTTTTGAGAAGAAACTATTCTCAGTTTTTTTTTCTACGTACAACTGTGATACCTTTTTGATGCACCACCACGATGCGACCCAAAAGAAGCCTGAGGGTTGATATACTGTAAGGGCTGAGTCAAATGAGCTGGAGTCAGATACGTGTGGGTCCAGTTGGAGGCTGGTTTTTCTGTTGCTGCGCCCGCCTCGCTGGATGTGGTTAATGGGATTACTGGACCCTGACCAGGCCGAACGTGGGTGATTTCAGCTGCAGTGCTGCTTTGCGTGCACGGGTAAATGTGTGCGTGTCGACGGCTTTGCTTCTTTCGTTTGGAGCTCAACGGCTAGCTCAGAACTAACACGGACCAAGGAGAGTAACATGTGCGCGAGTCATTGGGCGTAACGAAACCCAAAGGCGAAGTGAAAGTGAAGGTCTGGCTTGTCCGGACTGAGGTGAGATCCTGTCGTGCCTCATGCGCGGTATCACCAAGCATCGAGCGGCAGGCGCATCACCGGCCCGTCCCATGGTGTGATGACCCTATTCAGAGTTTGTCATCGGGGCGGAGCATGAGCGTACATGTTGAGACCCGAAAGATGGTGAACTATGCTTGCGCAGGTTGAAGCCAGAGGAAACTCTGGTGGAGGACCGCAGCGATTCTGACGTGCAAATCGATCGTCAGACGTGAGTATAGGGGCGAAAGACTAATCGAACCATCTAGTAGCTGGTTCCCTCCGAAGTTTCCCTCAGGATAGCTGGTGTTCAGAGATATAAACAGTTTTATCCGGTAAAGCGAATGATTAGAGGCCTTGGGGGCGAAACGTCCTCAACCTATTCTCAAACTTTGAATGGGTGAGAAGCCTGACTCGCCCAAACGGAGTCAGGCGTTGAATGTGAATGCCAAGTGGGCCATTTTTGGTAAGCAGAACTGGCGCTGTGGGATGAACCAAACGTTCGGTTAAGGTGCCTAACGCGACGCTCATCAGATACCACAAAAGGTGTTGGTTGGTCTAGACAGCAGGACGGTGGCAATGGAAGTCGGAACCCGCTAAGGAGTGTGTAACAACTCACCTGCCGAATCAACCAGCCCTGAAAATGGATGGCGCTGGAGCGTCGGACCTATACCGGACCGTCACTGCAAGCTGAGTCGGTAATGTGTGGTGTGAGGGCAAGTCACACGACTCAGGCACGGAATTGTGGTGACGAGTAGGAGGGTCGCCGTGGTGAGCAGGAAGCTTCGGGCGTGAGCCTGAGTGGAGCCGCCACGGGTGCAGATCTTGGTGGTAGTAGCAAATATTCAAGTGAGAACCTTGAAGGCCGAGGTGGAGAAGGGTTCCATGGGAACAGCAGTTGGCCATGGGTCAGGCGGTCCTAAGTGATCCGTTAACTCGGAACAGAGACGGGGTGCCTGACATTGTCAGGATTGCTGCTGATGTACTGTTGCAAGGCAGCCCCCTGTAGCGAAAGGGAATCGGGTTAATATTCCCGACCCTGCCCACGGAGATTGGTGCATTCTGGTCTCGCACCGGTTTGCATCTAGCGCGGTAACGCAACCGACCTCGGAGACGTCGGCAAGAGTTCTGGGAAGAGTTCTCTTTTCTTTATTAGGAGTGCATCATCCCCTGGAATCGGGTTGTCCGGAGATAGGGGACTAGCCTCCGTAAAGCACCACATTTCTTGTGGTGTCACCTTGGGACACCTGCGTTACCATTCAGAGTCGGTGACTTGCGGTCTGGACCGGCCAGCTGGTCTATGAAGGCCAAAGTCAGGTTGGTATATAAACTGGTGTCGAGCTACAAATGGACATTCCTCGCTTGCCCCTCTTGCGGTCCGGGTGTCCACGGCGTGCAGGAAATGGTGTGATGACCCTATTCAGAGTTTGCCATTGGGGCGGAGCACCCAAGCTCAAACAGGAGTAGTCGAGAAGCCATGGTCCCGTTTAACCGTAAATCCCCTTGTCAGTAGCTTCCTTCTATAATCACTCAGCTATCTCGAGTATCAAGATGGGTCTACTTCGCAGACGAAAATGTTTGCGGACAGTTCCTTTAGGGTGCTCCAGGAGGGATAGCTGTACCAACATCTTCGTACTGCCATTCACAGCTGAATAATTATTGCTTATTTTGTGTAATTCCTTCAACACACTCGGCGAACGAGTTATCAAGCAGCGACTACTTTGTATTTTAGATATGTGAATACATTTTTTTCGTTGCGATGACGATTGAAATGGCGTTGAAAATACTAGCTAATGGACTTCTGTTTACACCGAAGGCGCTGCTGAAGGATTTTGGCGGGTTTCTCGATTTCTTCAATTACATTGTGAGTCCAAAGAACTTTTGTGGGCCATGGTTTATTGTAATATACGGTCGTCCTTCTTATAAAGATCAACCTTCGTTGCGGACGCAAAGGTCCGGGTGGCGGATGGTGGTCCCACGGGCATGGTTAGTTCTTTCAACAAAATGAGCATTTACCTGACTTTTTAATGTTCTTGCTTCAACTATGGTCCAGTTGCTTATCCTGCCCCATATAACTAACTTTCGTATTGTTTCTGTGCACTTGCAAAAGGTTACATTTCTTCTTGCTAACAAATGAATGCAACAGTTTAACACAGGGCTCTCTTTTGGTTAACTGCTATGCTAAAACCTCTGTATCGTTCCAAATACCTCGTCATTTCCGCAGTGGATCCATCATTTTGACAACTGTGAACTCATATGTTTTTTGGGAATTTGTCTGAGCCCGTTCAAAATTGAGTGAAAAAGCAAAAAGTACAGTCAATGAACTTATTAACAGAGTGGTATTCCTAGTTATTCCTCCTGCCTAAATCAACGTTCTGTGGAGTCTTGATAAGAACTTTTATCTCGATTAGATAAATTAGTTAGTATAGCCCTAACTCACTCGTTTTTCCCATAGACATGAAAAAATTTCACCTTGATTTCAAGCGAAACGAAAACTTTCTTGTTGCAAATTGACGAATAACTACGATCTCCAGCTATACGCACCACAGTACTCTGTCGATAACGAATCACATACTCAAGCCTGGTACATGAGTCGGCTGACGGTATGTGTAATCACACATACTTTCTGAAGTGGCAATCCCTTCCAAAAATCCGTTTTACGAGGAAGACCAGGTACAGTGGGATTAACGTTAATGCGACTCGGCGTCCATATGGGAGCAGCTGGTGCGAGACGCCTGGTCCCGTTCGGAGACAAACGTCTAGTACCGAGTGGTAATGACAGCTGGTCGCTCTTGAAATTTCCGCAAGGATGGAAATGGCAGGCCTAAATTGCACACAGAATATTCACTGGGCCAGCGTCTTGAATCGTGGGACCGCATTTGGTCAGCTGGTTATACAGGAACTTTTGCAAAATCAATTCCCCGTGTCACTTTGCATTTCGCGACTGGGCAACTTTGATCAGTAGTCAAAGCAGTTGTGACCTGACGTTTTGGCACCACGCTGTCCCACTAACCCATCACTTTCAAGCACACACTAGCAAGCCCTTTAGTCCGATATAGCGACAATCGCGCGCATGGATTCTGCGATGTTCTCTTTCTAACGGAACGTGTGATAACAATATCGTAAGGGTTTGGATGTATTTTTTCGATGGGATGCTACCCTTTGACGGCCCATGATCAGTTTCGTCCTTCTTGATGCTCACTAGATAGGCGCAGCTTCCAAGTTTCCAGCAGTCTTATGTTTTTCCACTGTTGGTTTTAACCGGAGATTCAACTTAATTCCGAATTACTGTACAGATTGTGCGAATTGTATTTTATTCGGGTTCAGCTAGAATTTAAGGTTGACTGAAACTCGGGGAGTTCGCCCATCTGATGAGCTCCAAGTAGGGCGAAGCCGGTCGTGAACTGCGGAAGACTATTCAACAACATTATGGGTAGTGTTCCGTCAAGGAAATATACTGCGTTGTCGAATATCGTACTGAATAAAACATAAGTTGGTACTTATGCATAAGTACCAACTGAAGATTAGTATGAATCGTTGTTTTGTGCCGACTAATCTCAATATTTGAAATCAGATCATAAACATTATCACCCTTAGAAGCAGTGAAAATCGTACTCGCGGCCGTTGACTGATACCGTAGACAGACGATTGATATTAAATGGGGACTGCTATACAACGTAAACGTACCAATTACTCTGGAGATAAACAAACATGAGAAGAATGGTTGGTGTGTACAAAATAATTGTTGGGACAGTGAATTAAACTTGTTGACCGGCGTTACTGGTACGTTCTGTTCACTATGTTGCCAGAAGAGGACTATCAGCCGCATGGTTAGACGGTTCGTGTCCAGTGCTTGCAGGCAGGTTTCCCACTTAATTCAGCTGGAAAATTCCGAAATGGAAAAACGGTCCTATTTGAGGGTAGTCTTTACTACATAGATCTTATGGAAAGAATGGCTGCGTTTTCTGCTTGGTAAGAGGTGCTCAATGTTTACTTCTTCCACCCTCTTACAATCTACTGCTACTTTCACATTTCCTAATTTTAGATCAGTTTGATTTTTGTCAGTTACATGATGCGAGTTGAAACCATTGGGCCGGAGTCTGGCGAACACATTTTGATGGTTCTTCGTTGTCTCCGACCTTTGCGGATTTTCTGTTTGGTCCCACAAATGCGACGCGTGGTATACGAATTAGTCCGCGGCTTCCGTGAGATTCTTATGGTGAGTCCCTTACCATAGCTTCAGATGACTCCACTTCTTTGAGTGTACAGGTGCACTATTTCTGTCCCATCAGTCTTATAGTTACCATTTCAATTCCTCCATCCAGTCATGTTTCTAATCTCTTAGCCACCGGCCGCTGATTTCTCTGCAAAACGACGATATCGAAAAAAACTCTCCGAGTAGAAGTGGCGGGGTAAGGTAGGCCAACAAATGACGTCATCAGTTGCTTGAGTTAAACAGAATACTACCGGAGTACCGATAGGAAGCGGGCCGTTAGCTGTTTATCATGTCTGCATACACCTCAACCGACTATAGATCCGACACTGTCCAAGACAACTTTCACGATACCATGAGTGCCCTGTTACGGCACACCAACCTCAAACATCTTTTTGCTTCCCGGAGATATGAATGAACAAACGGGTAGACTCAGTGTAGCTGAAACTTAATTTGGCGGTCAACTTGAATCGGACTCGGCTCACACAGATACTTGTGAACAACTGCTCCAGTTATGTAGTGACAGCAGACTACGTTAATGCAGTACTATCATCCGCAGTTGTTTGGCCACGTGGTGTCCTCTAACAGCGTGCCAGCCGCCGACCCACATTTATCACATTGGCATCTGTAACTAATGTCACTCTACTACCAGTGTGAAGCACTTGTCTGGATTTTGACGATTCACTCGTCACAAGTCGCGTTTTTCTTCGCTTTCCAGCGTCGCAAAGGTGCGGACAGATTGCTTGTAACTGAGTGTGGAAGATCCACCAGTTGGATGAATTCATCCGTATCGTTTTCTGTACTCTCTCTCTCAACTACTTCACTGTCTGATGTCGATTCTTACTGAACCGAAATCTCATTGCACAGTGTTAGGAATTTTGCCTGTGGCACGGCACTACCATGCCCGCTCAATCACTATAAAGCGAACAAAACAATGACCCTTCTCGAATCTCGAAGAAATATCCCCACTGGTTCAGAGCAAAACGATCAAGACTCAAGTTGGTATAACAACTTTCAAGAGAGAGATTCCTCGATCACCGGGCCATTTGCTTTGAACAGCAACTCTCGTTTATACCTGGTGCCATGTAGTTAGTTACTCGAACTATACTAGAACCCTTGACGGTGAATGTAGAACGGCCTCGGAGGTTTATGACTACCTATGCTCTCTAAAGCACCGCATAACACCTGACCCGGATGACCTTCCATCCACCCTCTTCAAGGAGTCCTTAATGAGCGCATGCCTCATCCGTGTGCCTGCATTTTGGAAAAGTGTACGGTCCCAGGCAACCTGGAAAAGTCAGTACAGTGCCCATTGTAAAAATAGGCCCGTATTAAATGTGTTAATCACAGAGGGATTTACTTGACCATAGTAGTAATGAGACTGCTGGTATAACTTTTCCTTCGTCGCATTATTGTGGCTCATGGAGCATTGATTCGAGGGCAGAAGTGAGAGTTCGACCTGTTATGAGTTGCGCCGACTAAATCTTCACACTGCAAGGTGCCAGAACAACGCCATGCGTATAAAAGGCCCAAAATTTAGGTATTCTTGAACTTGTAAGTCACATTTGACTCAACCGACCTGCTTATTCTCCTTAGCTCACCTGTTCAGCAAGAAATGCCTCGGAAGTTTGTGAATGTAATACGATTTTATACCATCAGAATTCCGGACGTATGGGGATATAGAGAGAGCTGTTCAAGAGCTTCCACACACAAAGTGTTGTCCTAAGGAGATACCCACCCTCTATTCCTGTTTAATCGTGATCGACAAGATAACGAGACCAGCGCTGGAATGTCTTTAAAACCATGGTGTTGAAGTAGCTACTGACGAAAGCCTTGTTGATGTGGTATATACATATGACATCTTTATCGCCTTCGAAGAAGAGAGGTTGGCGCAGGTGGTTCTGGACAAACGAACCGAAATCATTCCCTTCTTTGGCGTGTGGTTTGCATCCACAAAACATAAGACCGTGCTCCTGGACAGGCAGTCACTGAACACCCCACTCACAATCCGAGGAGAATCACCCAAAGTTGCAAAGCGTTTCGCATATCTCGCAAGTTGTATATTTTTGGACTGTAGTGCCACAGATGAGATCAGTGCGCGAATCTCTAGGACTTTCGTCACATTTGCTAAATGAGGCACCTATGGTACCAAAGTAGCGTATCCCTGCATTTCAAGAGACGTGTTTACCAGGCCATAGTATGGGCCGTTTGTCTTACTGCTGTGAGACGTTGCCTCTGTACGTAGTGGGATTGAGGCGTCTTCCGACAACCGTCTTCTGAGAACCACAGCTCGTGTAGGCTGGTGTCGACGAATGCGCAACAAGGCGAATGTTCGGTTGTTTACCGGAGACTCCAGTCGAAGTCCATCGTCAAAGCCTGCGTTGTTTTGAGTATGTATTGCGCTTACCAAGTCACCGAATAGAGTGCAATTTTCCTTTCCAAATCCAGACTGGTTCAAACATAGATGTGGCTAAAATTCGCCTTTGCACAGGGATATCAATGCGCTTACGAGAAGTCTGGGTAATGTCCGTGCGACTCACCTTCCAGGATGGGGTCCGCGTGATCTAAACTGTGTCTGGTTTAAGAATTAGCAGGATATGACAAGTAATCGATGTCACTGATGTCCTTATTAGTTTCTATCCAGATTCCCTGAATGAATGTAGATGTGGGCACCTTGAGTGTGGGTTAGTACTAAGTCCCTTTCCCATCCGCTTTTATCCCTTTTTAAATAATAAGGCTTTTATATAAATTATTATTGCATGGTAGAGAAGCATTAGTATTAAACACTGGTGTTATACTGTCGATGGTGATGATGACGATCCACCTAATCCATGCAGTCGATCGGCCGCCATATGAAACTTCGAATGAAGTTCTCTGTGTGTCTTGTTTACTCGCCAAACCTAACAAGTCTTTGTTTTCGGAAACGTATGGTAACAATCGGTATATTGTTGTTCACACAGTACCGACAGGAGTCACAGCAGGTAGCAAAGCCTTATCTGGTAGATTGCTTTTCTCGGCCTGATATAAATACATCATTTACCTACCGCTTCCCCCTGCCAATTACTAGCATTTTCGCTTAGATGATTGCAATGAGAGGTAATAATCTCCTGCATAACTGGAAAATGAGCAAGAAGCACTTAATGCTGGGACTTAATGTTCCTTATCGGACATGTTGCGTTTTTGTAGTTCTTTCGCCTATCGGGGATGTCTCATAACAGCTTTTTTTCGGCCCCCTAAATCGTGTTGGGAGGCTACTTGTCAACGAAAACAACTGTACTTTCAGTGTTGAGCAGACTGTTCACTTAGAATCAGACAGGGTTTATGCTCTCCCATAAATTGTGGAATAAACACTGATGATAACCGGTTTTTTATAGGACGTAGTCGCAGATCCTAATATTACTTTAAAAAACGGCTGTTTTGTTTTCGCATAGTGCACCGATAGACTCGTGCCCGGCGGAGAAACCTTTATGTATTCGTGAGTTTTTTACACACACACACAAATATCAATATTCACTCTACCGTTTACCATTGGCTTCATCATGGGAAGGAGAATAGGATAGGTAGTTATTCGACGGCTATTTGCTAACAAGTAGTGTAGCTGTTACGTGTACGATATTTAAGCCGTTGGAATACTCAAGTCCGATGACGTTTGTTGCTCAAAGTTTTCCATACTCTAATAGCATTCTACACTAGTTTGTTTATTTTTTTTTGTCTTATAGGTATCATCATTTTTCGAAGGGAGTTGGTGTCATTACTTGGTTGCAAAAATACATACCAATCTTTCGGTTGCGCATTGTTTGCTCTGTTCGTATAACACTGAGTAAACGGTTGCTGAATACTAGGTTTTACTTGTAGGCAGCTTTAGTTCGGTATTGAGTTCACGTTACTTCAGGATACCCAGAACATTCCAATACTACATGGCTGAACCAACCTCAATTTTCATTGGACCTACTGATGGGAACTAATCACCCAGAAATGAAGGTATTGAGCCTCAGGTTTCATTTAGGTTACTTTTGGAAATGGGACAAGGTTACAATTAATTCCTTTCGACGCAGTTTTGTGTCAAATTGGTAAAAATAGCATTAGTGAGTAAATCACTAAGTGCTTTCTCTTGGACCAGTGACTTCAATTTCTGGCTTTATTTTGCATCTACCACTCAGTTTACTTCATGTATTTTCTAGGTATCCGTTCTGCTAGTGGTTTTCATGTTTATATTCGCGGTTTATGGAGTGCATCTTTTTGGAGGGCGGCTGGCAATCTGCAACGATCGCACAATCACTACCAAGGTGAGCGTTTCCTCAACAAGCACTCCATCCATGTAATTGGTTGTGAAATTTGTAGAATTTGTATTCACATCACCGCTCAATATCTGAAGATAACTCCTTTGATTCGCGAACGCCAATGCAGGGAAGCACTGTATCTGAGGTTCGCTCTCATTGGTGGAATGTGAAATTTGGACATTTGAAATACGAGACCAGCGCATTCGTACTGTACCATCAGTTCGCTTGATTTGTCACGTCCTAAAGGACTAATCCGCTCACGTTTGAACTATCTGATCGCTTATGTCCAAAACCTCGAAAGACCAACCACTAGCTCTTGGTTGTTTTGACTGACTGACGCGCCCGTAAGGACTGCCCAGTCAAGTAGCGCCACATTTGTATGAAGTTGGCCGGCCAACTTTTGATTAATTATAGGTAGTTGTGGGATTCGTATAGTTTACATCCACGTCATTCTTGCTTTTTTGTCAGCTGAGATGGTCGTTCCTAAAACTTATAGACCTGTATTTATTTTTGTCATCCCCAGTTCGCCGTTGATACCATCACTCTTTGCCCTTGAAGTTCACTACTATTTAGCAATTTATGGGAAACATAAGCTGCATTTTAAAAGGAAGAGAAACAATTTTCTTGAAAAGCATATTCCTCTGTCGTATGTGAACGATTTTACCAATTCGACTCCACGTATCTTGAGACAGCCTTCATCCCGCCACCTAGTTGCTAAAAGCATCAAAACCCATGAAGTGCGTGCAAATCATGACATAAACTCATGGATTATATTGTTCTAAACAACTATTATGATGGATTTCCACTGAGCTTCCATCGACGCTCTTTGTACAGTGTTCTTGTGAGAATCATCGTNGTTCTTGTGAAAATATCGTTGGGGAGGTCCACTTATGTCACACTTAAGTAGTCTGAGGTTGTCGACAACTGAACGCTGAATTGTGGATAGTCGATCACATTATGGACATTAAGTGTCCATATAATGGTACCCCACGTGCATAACAGCACTGAGGTATTCAAACCTGAAGAAATCTCCCCACGATTACACGCCTCTTGTCTCCTCTCGTTATGATCCCTCGATGTGTCCACACGCTTACATTGAAAGACAACAGCAGAACTCTTTGAAACCATCACAATGCAACTTGGCCCTGGGTCAACCACAAGAAACCATCTTGTCAGAACTACTGCTCGAAGAGGCCGTAGCATCCTAGCAAATTCTTCCAGGCAGCGGCACTACAACTTGGTCCTGGCATCAATATTATGAGTCGATGCAACTTATTCGGATAAGCAGACCAAAGTCTTTTGCGAGCTCACAGATGTGCACCATATTGAGGTGACACTCTTCCACAGAAATTGCTTTCCTCTACCCTTCAGGAAACTCATACAAAGTTGTATTTAGTTTTTCGCGAGCTCGGAAACCGAAAAATCTAAATATTTCGACTATAACACCATTCCGGTGCCTAGTTGCTGTGCCACCCGAAAGAAGCATGAGTAGCCAAGGGGTTGGGTTCGAACCACAGACATTCTGGTCAGTAAATCCGTACTCTAATCACTAAGACACTCCAAGCTCTTGTGAGCGTGGATCAGATTCCAGTGTACGCTACAGTTACCTGTAAACCTTTCGACAATGTAGTGAGGTACGTGGGGAGGACTGACCTGGTGTGGGAACGTTCCGATCTGAAACAACCGTTGGACATGTAGTTCGAAGTTTCGACATATATATATATATATATNATATATATATATAGGCATATCTGACTGAGTATCGTAAAATCCGTCGAAAAAGCATGGTAGAACCTGACTAGGTTTTAAAAGTTAACGGGAAGAACGCACTAAATATCCGCGACGCCCATCTTTGCACTGAGACTCTGGAGAAATGGTAGATAAGTTACCGTCAGTGGCCTCCGGAAAAAAAACGTCACGTGACATCTGTTATATCTGCTGATTCGTCAATCTGTGGTACTTGCTGATGACCCGCTCCAGTGCCTGGTGTCGGAGAGAAAAAGGCTCACCGTTGGGAGAGCGCGAGTGCATGCGAGTGCGAAAAGCACAAGCTTTTTATATTGGAAGGACACTGTCTGAACTTGGTCCAATGCTGACGCACGCGGTCTGGCCTTAGTACGAGGCAGCGACGTGTTGCATATTGCGGAGGCGTTGTCTGTCCTTGATCAACGCTGACTCGCGCTGTCTGGGTTTGATGCAAGGCTGTGACGCGCTGCATATTAGGGGGGGCGTTGTCTGTTTGGTCAACATCCAGCGGAGCTGAGAGTCTCCGTAGATTCCGGGCCTTCAGTGGTTACTTTTAGGAAGCTGACCTTTTCCTGATATCTTCCCACAAACGTATCCTCCAATCTCAGTACAGTACAATACACACATTTCATGGCAATCGTCTTAAGATTCCGAAAGATGCGCAAACTACATCGATCAGAAGATGACTAAAGAATCCAGAACAGTAGCTAAATGCGTTACCATTCGTCAGTATGCATGAATTTCCACATGTGGAAGGCACCGAAAATCACACTATTCTGTAAACATGATAAGCTCTTCGACCTCGCGAAAGCCGTTATGAATATGCCAACAACATGGAGCATGTCGATAACTGATATTGTGTCATTGCCACACGCGAACCACATGCGGAGTCTTTAAACCTTGTCACCAACCTATCCTCTATGTCTTGCATTCGATTTGAAGCTGTCTGCAATACTCAGCAGAATGAGGGTTCCTTGATACGTTTGGGTGTATATTATTCTAATTTTGTAATGAATCCGGAATATCATCACAGTGAAAACTTTTGAGACCATAAATTAAGGCTTTTCTCTCTTTCAGTGTTTTGAACAAACATTATTGGATTTAGAAACTAAATAGGTCAGCTAGTCAGAAGGACAAACTCCGGACATAATAGGTATGTTAAGGGTAGTCAAACTCCGCTGAGAAATCCTTTGATAAATTAGTCATGTAACCCAAAATACATCCTGTTGTTAGTAAATTTCGAAACCATATAAATGAAATATTAGTGCGGCACGAACTGTCACCCCAAGGATCAAGTTTGACGGAGGCAAGTAAAATAGCTTCTTGCTAGTTTAGCATTTTTCTTCTAAAGTAAGAATTTATTATTTTTCGCCGGTGGACGTAAAACAGTGCAGTGTAATGCTTGAGAATTTCGAAATCAAGCGGGGTTGCCAGCCGTAATTGCCGTTTCTCAAGGTGCATGTATTTAAGCCACATTAGTAGCGTGTGGACTCATAAGCCTCAATGTCGAATGCCCCTCCTCCTATGCCACACAACTACCGAAATACAACATGTGCTTTTGAAGGTAAGTGAATTCGAGTGAAACGGGTATATTGCTCCTTATGGGTGAGACCTCATACTCGGCCCTGAAACTGTCCGGACCATGGGCCAGTCGACTTGTTCGTACAGCTGGTACCCCCACACACGCACAAGCATTTTACCCGAAACGGAGAAAATAATAGATGAACTCTCCCTTATTACGATCTGCCAAAAAGGTACTCATTTATTTGTGGACCCAACCTAGCTTGGGCGGTATTCGTTTGAGAAAAACTCTACATCATTTACTAGGCGATTGCAACTGACAAGGATATTTCAGTAGTGACGCGCACATTCGGTTTGAAAACCGCACCTTGTGCTTCAACTCTTCTATTTACCCCGTGTGGTGCACCAAGCCATGTGATGTTTACGTCTCTGAAAAGTGGTAATTCAAGTGCAACACTGTCCACAGGATGCAGTGACAAATTTAACTACTGCGAAAACGTTTCAACTTTGCTTCAAGTTTTAACTTGTGATTGCATAAGTAACTGATTCTTATGTGACACCCGCTCTCATTGAACTTAAAACTTAATCTGGAACATGGACTAACTTGCAGAACAGAAGCACAGCTTTTCTCTCTATTTCAGGAAAAATGTGTCGGTCGTTTCCATCGAGAAATTTCCGTTACCAAGCTCAAAAGTATCAAAGGTCCGGGCCCTCGACTGCTGGTTCCTCGCGTATGGGCCAATCCGCGTAATTTCAACTTTGACAACATCGGCAATGCGATGTTAGCTCTGTTTGAAGTACTCTCCCTCGAAGGTTGGGTTGAAATTCGAGATGTCATCAACGAACGCATCGGCCCAGTAAGTTGTCCTGAATCTAACTAAATGGTCCATCCTGTGCTGGGTTCGATACATTTCATGCACACGTCAGAACGATAATGATGTGATCATCTAGTATATGACGAGACTATTTGGTAATACATGTCCATCGTTTTCTGAAGAATTAAGTTCAGAGGTCCGTTTTATGTGAAAACATTCATACGTTTCTCCCAGACCCCATCAAGTTCGTCTTCCTCGAAATGCAAGATTTACCACACTGGATAATACTGTCTGCATTCAAACACACAAGAATTCAACTGATTTAAGTCGTATGATTTTTAGTAATCTGAGTCAGAGGTTAGAAGTAGGGTAACTGTATATAGCCAATGGGCTAAAGAGCTGGAGTCGGTAGACACCTACTTCATCATTACACCTGAGTTTGAAAGGTTCATTTATGTTTATCCATGTCCATTGAAGTCAGTAGTTTGTAGCTGCATTATTTGTTTAACTAAAAAGATATGATAATTATAGTTTGGAGTGCGATGAGAATCACGTGTTCCTGCCAGACCGTTGCTCCGTCGAACATGACTCCAGTCCACGTAAACAATTTTTTGCCCACGAACATGACTCCGTCCACGTAAACAATTTTTTGCCCACCCTGAAAGGCACTCTCACTCACTGACAGAATGAAAATGACCAAATCTCCTTACACTTCTTTTACTCTTGCCCAAGTTGGAATTGGTTTCCTGCGGCTTAGCACATGTTAAATAGGACAAAATGAATCCACATACGCTTATTTTACCTCGAAACCTGATTTCTGCCCATCTCCTGTTCAGTTTGAAATGAAAATACATGATGCAGCCGACCTACAGTTCTAAGATCTAGTTAATCTATACTTCAGATTAGCTGTTGACTTTGGGATTCATTCTCTTGTTTTGCAGCGGCATACCATCTACATCCATTTGTTTGTCTTCATTGGTTGCCTAATTGGGCTGACGTTATTTGTTGGTGTTGTGATAGCCAATTACAGCGAAAATAAGGTGAGTTTGATGCCTATTGCCTTCGTGCTTTTTTTTAAATTTCAATCGAATTGGCGAGCTGTGCATTCCAATGCTGGCTAGTCCCTGCCTTGCATCGAATGGCTTTCTCACGAGTTCCATGTTTCTAAAACTGATGTCAATAAATGTCGGTAACGGCCAGCCTTGTGTACGTTGGGTGTCCCTAAAGCAAACGCCAAACTTCCTGCATCTTGAGGATGGCGTTTTGGTGATATTTTGGGACCTTTTGTGTGATTCTGCTACTTTAAGGACGACGAAATATTACTGAATTTCTCTTCGATGGAACCCGAGATAGTCTTTGCGCTACAAATTCGTCAACGTGTGATTCGTTTCATCATCATAATCATCAGCTGCCACAGTTCGTTCACCGATGATTCGGGGAGGTGGGGTAGGCAGCTGCGCATTGGAGGTGGAAGCTGATAAAGTAGTGCGTAAATACCGCACTGTAGGTGGACTGTTAAGTGGGAGGATTGGGAAGGGAGCTATGCATTGAAGGCAATAGCTTGGATGCACGAGCGCCATTGAGGGCGCGACTGGGCCATATCTGACAATGTCTCTAGCCATTGATGTGGCCCATCTCGGAGTCCCCATCCAGGAAGACGGCAATGACCGGCGCAGCTAAGTTTGCTGGTAATAGCTTTCATACTTCGCTGCCAAGTCATTGGTTGACCGCCTCTGACTCTCTTCCACCCTTCACGTGGTTGTGCGAAAAGAGCCCTTCGAGGAAGTCGGTCGACTGG